CAAAATTTCCTTTAGTTAAATCTTAGAAGTTAATGTCCTTTTTAACTCACCCCACCAGGGGTAGGCTCTCCAGCTTAGCTCTTATGCCGTTGCTTAGATCGTCTGCAAGAGGGGGGGTGCGGACTTCCTTTTAGCACACCCCCCGATCGTCTCCAATTCAAGGTAAAATTTTTATAAAGTCCCAATCCGTCTTACTCACGGGTAATTATTTCAGTCCAAATTTTCAAGGAAGGAAGTCAGCGCTCTCTGGTCATGGCTCGCGGCTTCACTCCACCGAGGTAGCGATCGACTCTCAGTGCCACGCCACCCCCGTATCCCCTCCGCAGCCTTTAAAAAGGCTCTTTGCGAATCAGGGGGGGCGCTTAAGGCACCCGCCGAGTCTTCAGTCCGCAGGCTTCCGCGCCTGCGGTTTTTAAGGGTCCCCGCGTCGCCGGCGCGGCAAAGACCCATCCTCAGTGGAGCCGGTTCCCTCCGGAGCTCGGAGGGAATCCGCCATTTCCAGATCGCGTCAACCCGGAAGTCGAGCGACTTTTAGAAGACATCTGAAGGCAGCCCTCTTTAGGGAAGCTTTTAATGTTTAACAGACCACTGTATTTTAATACTCTGTTGGAAGCCGCCCAGAGTGGCTGGGAAAACGCAACCAGATGGACGGGGTATAAATAATAAATTCTATTCTATTCTATTCTATTCTATTCTATTCTATTCTAAAACATACTTGAGACAGATACCTTAACCATTCAAACTGCTTTAATTACCCTTAGCCGTTAAGACAATTATGCCTCAGATTTGTTCTCATTTGTAAAAATGAGTTTTGAATGCAGATGCAAAGGTTTGGTGAGCCTTTGGACATGTTGGCTGTCCTGGCTGTACATGGACATTCTATTTGACGGAGCTGGTCTTGGAGGAAGAATTGTGAGGGGAGAGACTTCCTCAGGTAAGGCCACCTTCCACATGCCTTGCTTCACCCTCTAGTCTCTGCTTCTCAATTTGTATTGTATTATTTTATGCAGTGAGGCTCCTCACGGGGTCTCTGCCATGGGAGCATATTCACCCAGTGCTTTTCCAGCTGCACTGGCTTCTGGTGGAGTACAGGGTCAGATTTAAGGTGCTGGTTTTGACCTTTAAAGCCCTTCACGGCCTAGGACCCTCGTACCTACGGGACCGCCTCTCCCGGTATGCCCCGCAGAAGACCTTAAGGTCCATAAATAGCAACACCCTAGAGGTCCCGGGCCCTAAGGAAGTTAGATTAGCCTCAACCAGAGCCAGGGCCTTCTCAACACTGGCCCCGGCCTGGTGGAACGCTCTGTCTCATTAGACCAGGACCCTGCGGGATCTGATTTCTTTCTGCAGGGCCTGTAAGACAGAGTTGTTCTGCCTGGCTTTTAGCTTGGAATTAACTTGATCCCCTCCCCCTCTTTCTTTTTTCCTTTTTACTTCTGTGATGGAACTCCTATTTGGGGATTCCCTGGCTTTTTTCTGGTCCACGTAGGACCAGTCTGGATATTTAGCCTTGGTGAAGACTTTATGTTTTCATCTCCAAAAAAGTTTTTGTGTTTCTGCTGAAATGAGGATGCATTTTAATGTTGCATTTTTTATGTTGATATTATTATTATTATTATATACTATCCTAATGATTGTTGAATGTTACTTTTTTGATGTAGGTTGCTTATTTTAAAGTTTTGTTTTATTATCACATTTTTGTATTGCATTAGATTGTTATAAGATGTGCATTTTTTGTTTCTTCAGCTTGCAAACCGCCTTGAGTATTGTAAGATAGAAAGACGGTATACAAATTAAAAAGGATGATGATGGCACAACTAGACCAATTCTCCATCAGTTTGTCCAACCACGTTTAAAGCCATCTAACAGTGCAGTCCTAACCATGTGAGTCCTGTTTAATTCAGCAGACCTTGCATATTTTCTTTTAGGCACCCTGGATCAGTGTGGCAAGTTAGCTTTGCTGTGGGACCCAGAATTCTAATATACGGAATGAACTCAAGGTCAGTGCCTAAATTTACAGGCAAAATCCTTTCCAAGCTTAAAACAGCAGCTACTTGAAGTGTCTGCTTGTGACAGTATCTCAGGAGCCAAGGAAGCCAGTCAGACTGCTTTCCACGTTTCATGATGTTTTTAATTGTCTTGCATTCTGCATCACATTGTCCCTTGAGCACCAGAGAGAGGAGGCAGAGGACGCAAACCTTTTTGCTGTTTTCTCTTTGTTGTCCCGGTGACTCATCTCAGCAAGTCCTGGTTCACTGTGCAGAAAGAGAATTCCAAACTGATCTCTTGTCTGTATCATAATGCTGATAACACACATTTCCAAAGGAAATTTTCTCATCTGAAGGAAATCCACACTGCAGTATCAACAAGGCACTTAACCACTCTCCAGCTGCTGTGAACAGGTGCTTTTACTGGACAAGTTCTAACAATCTGTACCCAACATGCCAGGGATTAAACCTCAAAGCCTCGGCTGTTAAAAAGGCTAATTGCAAAATTAGCTTTCACTGCCTGCTTTCCTTTCTGCAAATGCAAATGTTTTGAAACAGTTAAGGATGTAAAAGCCCTGGTGGATCAGGCTCAAAGACCACCTCGTGTACCATCCTATTCTCACAGTGGCCAGCAAGGCACCCGTGAGAAACCCCTCAAGTAGAACCCAAGCGCAACAGTGATTCTTGTGCCCTTTAAATACTCTGGCATCCAATTCATTGTTTGGGTAACAGACTGGTTTCGTGCCAAGTAGGCAGTCCATAGTTTTAGCACTTCAGGAGAGATAATGGGTTAACATCCCCTCCTCCTTGAACCTCACTACAAGATACATTGGACCTGCTTCCCGTATTTTCAACTAAGCACAGAATGTTATGGTATGGGAGAAAAGTTGCTAGTTTTAACTATGGTTTGCCTGAGCAAACTTCAAACTGTTGTTTATGATGCTTGCATGTTCAAACTAACCATAGTTTGTCTATGTTCTGCTAACCATTAGGACGGATTACAGCAACAAGTTAAACTTAAGGCTGCCTCTGAAGATGGTTCAGAAGCTTCAGCCGGTGCAGAATTCAGCAGCCAGGTTGCAGGGCAAGATGATTTGAGCATATTTCTTCTTCTTCTTTTGAGCAGATTACACCTATGCTGGCCCAACTGCACTGGCTAGCAATTAAATTTCAGGGCCCAATTCAAAGTGCTGACATTGACCTAAAGGGTAAAGGGACCCCTGACCACTAGGTCCAGTTGTGGCCGACTCTGGGGTTGCGGCGCTCATCTCACTTTACTGGCCGAGGGAGCCGGTGTACAGCTTCCGGGTCATGTGGCCAGCATGAGTAAGCCGCTTCTGGCGAACCAAAGCAGTGCACGGAAACGCCATTTACCTTCCTGCCGGAGTGGTACCTATTTATCTACTTGCACTTTGACGTTCTTTCGAACTGCTAGGTTGGCAGGAGCAGGCACCGAGCAACGGGAGCTCACCCCGTCATCGGGATTTGAACCGCCAACCCTCTGATCGGCAAGTCCTAGGCTCTGTGGTTTAACCCACAGCGCCACCAGCCTTAAGCAGCTCAGGACCACAATACCTCAAGGACCGCCTCTCCCCATATGAACAGACCCAGACCCTGTGGTCATCATCCGAGGCCCTTCTTCATGTGCCTCCTCCACCAGAGGTCCAGTGGGTGGCAACAAGAGAACAGTCCTTTTCTGCAGTTGCTAATTTGTATGCCTGGCACCTTTGTTACGTATCTTTAGACACCAGACAAAAACGTTCCTCTTCTCCCAGACACTTGGCTAATTAAAAAATCTACGGCCTTTTAAAGTGTGCAAGGGGGGGGGAAGGGTTTTGTTCTTGTTATGGTATGCATTTTTGTGTTTTTATATTGTAAACCAGCCTGTGATCTTTGGGTGAAGCGTGGTATAGAAATTCAACGCATAAAGAGTTATCCTCAGTTGGCAGATTGTATTACACAAATATCTTCAGCTTTGAAGTGGGGGGGGCGGGCAGCAGGATAAATAGGAGAGGCAGTATGCACAGGTGAGTCAGAAAGCTATGAAATGCAAAAGGTACAGATGGTTTGCAACAGGCCTTCTGTGCAAACATCAGGTGTAAATATGGTTGCTGTTTCTCATTGCTACAGCATTGTTCTGATCGTCCAACATTAAATGGTCAAATGCATTTAAGTGGCCTCTAGCTAATACTGTTTAAAGACTAAGAAATTTGACTGTTTTTCCCTTAGAGAAGATGCTTGTGTGCTCATCTCCCCGCTGGTTCCCAACAGCGTTGTACAGGGATTGGGAACCTAAGGCCCATGGGCCACAAGTGGCCCACAGGGGTCGTTTTAAAGGCCCCCAAGCCACCCCCAAACCAAGCCACCCACTTGGCGAGTCCCCGCGCGCTGTGCTAAACCAGCAGAGTGCGGCACGGGGACTCGTTTCCGCGGTGCCAGAAATTGCGCCTGTGTATGCGCAATGCCGGAAATCCCGTCTGCGCAGATGCAGTCACCGGAAATCGCGGGCACGTGCGCTCAGGCACACCTGCGATCTGGCCCATGGAGGGGACTCTGTGGCAGTGAACCGGCCCAGGCTAGGTAAGCCTTGCTTACCCCTGGCATTGTATTTGGGCAGAGAGACTTGTGAAACCACTTCCTCTCCCTGCCTCCCCCGCTCACTTTCCAAAGCCTTTCCCAAACCATCTGAATCACCTCTTCATTGTCAGACGACTCTCCTCTAGCCTCCCTCCACTCATCAGCCAACCCCTGACCGCCTTCATATTTCATCCGCTGCAGACAAAGCCTCCTGCACCCTGGGCTGCCATCAGTTCAGTTCAGCACCGCTGGCACAAATAAGCTGCAGTGAACAAGGGCAATCACATCGGGAGCAACCTACCGTGTCATCCATTTAGAAATGTCTGGACTCCGTTTCTGTAATGCAAGGAGGGTTGCCCTAAAGCCAAGGTCAAAACCACAGGGCGCCTGGGCAGGTTCGCACCTGGTACACAAGCCCAAAGATGAAGACAGCCGTTTTGCTTTTCAAAAAAGAATATTTTATTGACAAAGTTCCCCCTGTAGTCACCTGTACAGGAGAAACAGTTCAGTCTGTGTTCTAACAGCTCCCCGGTCCCAGTGGCACCGCTTTCCCCACCCAACACGGGTGCCTACTTTACCCTTGAACAAACTCCAGCAAATGATACCCCCACACCCTGCAGATTCTCTCATCCGTTGTGCCAGGTCGACACGGCGTGGTCACCGTCCACAGGCAACACAGGTCACAGGGAGAGTTCTACAATCAGCACGTTAAGTGTTGAAACTTGCTTCTCAGGGGGGCGGCTGGGCAGGAGGGGTCTGATAAGAGCTTGAAGCCTTCTGGGGGCACCAAGGCCTTGAAGCAAAACAGCTTTCTTGATATGTACTTAGGGCACTGCTGAAGTCCCACTGAGCCTCTAAGGCACAGAAAGGTTTGGATAATTTAAGAGGCACCTCTGCCTTAGAACTAAGGGGTCAGGACAGTGGAAGGTTTGCAGCCTTTTTCAGGAGGAGGAGCAGACACACCACATACTAGTGCTCCTAGCATTGAGTGAAAACAGAGCCAGGAACCGGTGGCAAGTGCTGCGAACAAAAAGAGATCAGAGGTGGAGCTCTTTGTCATCACATAAAGTGTACAAAGTATTTTAAGGAGGTTCCTGGTAGGAGAACCAAACCGAGAGAGAGAAGGAGCCCTCCACGATAGCTCTCTTGTGCTGCGATCAACATGTCCTTCCTTAATCTGATTAAATGGGTGGACTAAGAAAACAGAGGCATAAACCCAGAGGCAGAGAAGCAAGTTCCACACACTCAGGAGAGAGAGAGCAAAAGCAGGCATGTGCACCGTCACGCACCGATGAAATGAACACAAGACCAGCACATCCGCATGCAATTACTATGGTAGGATGCAGAGCTCCAGTGCTTCACCCCTTCCCTCCCCCCCCATCAAAAAAGAATTCTTTGCGCTTTTGAGATATAAAAAAGGTTATAAACCAGTAAAGCAGGTGGTGATGTAAGGCTTGTGTTTCAGCTTCCGCATTCAAAGGTAGATTGCCCCTAAATGTCGATGCTAAAAGCTGGTATGTTCTGAAGTCCACTGCATTCCAAAAAAATAAAGGTTCTGAGATTCATTAAAGCTAGAGAATCAGTGTAGCAAAGCTAGGCAGTCGCTAAATAGAGGCTCTAAATATCTTCTATCACCCCCCCTCCCCTGCTTCCCGGAAGAAACCCCCCCAAACCTGGTTATATATCTTAAGTGGAAACTGCAGGCTTCCAAAGCTTTTCCCGGTGCTTCCAATTGCAGAGAAAGCCACAATAGCAGAAAGCTGGCTAGCTATATGCAGAGGAGAAGATGGAGCAGGAATCGAGAGACGCTCCCTGTGCAGCTAGCGGCATCTGAGAACTATTCTTTCTACATGACATACAGAATTTTTTTGCCCGCACATTAGAGGGGGTCGGGGTGGGAGGAAAGAGTGCAGGACTCTGGTGCAAAAAAAAGGGGGGGGGCTGTTTTGGGTCAGGGTTGCAGAATCCTCATTGCTGGCGCTCTTCCAAAAAAGGCAGCACAGCAATGTGTTCCATCTAGAAACCTTTTTAGTGTAAAATATATAAGTGTACAAAACACTGTGTGTTCGCTTTATTGGACCTGAAGAATCCAGCAGCAAAAGAACGTCTACATATATGATGTATGGATCTCTCTTTCGTCAGAGTGGGACCTGCGGCCCAGGAACTTTTTCCTTTCGTCTTGCATGTTGGGAAGAACAAGGGGCGAGGCTCTGGCAGTCATGCACCACGGATGTAGACTTAGAAAGGCGCGTTGTCTTGGGAGGGCTTGTCGCCGGATGCTGTTGGGGAGTGGAGCTCATCGGTGCCGTTGTCTTTGCCGCCCACAACTTTGGACTGGACGAAAAGGAAGGAATGGGAACAGGTGAGAGCAGGAGGCAGTGGGCGGGACTCGCATGAAGAACCCCAGCAGCAGAGGCCCTGTGCAACAACTTCCAGTGGTGCGAGGGAGCTTCCCCTCCCTTCTGCTCCCCCCAAAATTGGATTGGGGTGAGGTGTGCCCCCAGAACACAGCACGGGGAGAGGAGAGGGAGGACCATTGCAGCTGGAGAGCTGAACTGCTTGCATGATCGGAACGTTTGTAATAGCGTATTGAATTCCACCCAGCGTCTGAAGGAATGAATGTTGGGTGTGGAGCACACTTCCACCCAACAGACAAGCCATAGCTGTCTGAACATCATGCCCTCTATCTAACCTTTGCTCTCTTAGTTGTCTGGTCTGCCGTGCCCTGTCTGTGACCTTTGTCTCCTTAGTCATATGTTGTGCAAGGGGAAAGTGACGCGGTGGAATCAGGTGCTAAAATAACTTTGTACCACCCCTCGATCTCAGGATTGGAAGATGTGTAAAGGTCGCAGTCCAAAATGTATCTGACTGGTTTTGCATACAGTGGTACCTAAGTACTTAATTCGTTCCGGAGGTCCGTTCTTAACCTGAAACTGTTCTTAACCTGAGATACCACTTTAACTAATGGGGCCTCCTGCTGCTGCTGTGCCGCCGGAGCACGATTTCTGTTCTCATCCTGAAGCAAAGTTCTTAACCCGAGGTACTATTTATGGGTTAGCAGAGTCTGTAACCTGAAGCGCATGTAACCTGAAATGTATGTAACCCGAGGTACCACTGTATTGTGCTAATAAAAAGAGCCTTAGCAGAGCTAGCTGGCAGCTTGCTTATGCACAGCTCACCTGCATTACCAACTCCTGCCTCATGTCCTTCACTTCAAGCGTCGTTTGAACCCTTGCCCTCCCCACATTCTATCTTTCCTGTGCACAAACCTTTGTACAGAAGCCAGTTCCCAGTTCCCTCACACTAGAGTGTGACCAAGCAATATAAAAACAGGATGGGACTCAGCGGACAGGAGGACAGGCTCTTAATGGCAGAGGTGGCTGCCCCCACCTACACCCCCTTTCTCATCCAATGAAGCTTTTCATTCACTCGTATGGGTCTCTCTCCCTGGTTTTGCAATATGCAACCTCTCCCGTTGCACACACCCAGCCAGCTATGACAGCGGGCATCTTGCTCGTCTAGCAGAAACGCGTCGATCCTAAACACATCGTGGCTTCGTACCACGTCACGGAAGGGAAAATTACCTTTATGGTTCCAACACGGTCTTCAAAAGACTTGAAGGTTGCAGAATTTCTTAAGGGAAAAAGAGGAAGAAGCGAGTGAGAAAATAAAACTGCACAGGCATATTAGAAACTTGCATTCCGTTTTGAGGCAGGCAGCTAGCTTTGCTGGTGGAGAAACATCTACAGACCCCCCCCCCAAGCACTCATGGCCCCTGAAAAGTTTGGCTCAACCACAGCTGCTGCAAATTCCTGGTTCTGCTACCAACATTCGCCAGCCCGTTTCAGAGAATTCAACGTGCACCTAACTGCAGAGGAAGTCAATATCAAAAACTACTTGGCAGCTTTGAATTTAGGGTTCCAACCAGAGAACATCCTAAAGTAGCACACACCCAAACATACGCAACGTCCCCTCCTCCCGAAAATGAAAGAGAGAAATCAAATATCAAGAGACCCGGGAACACAAAAAAAAACATTCAGTGGAATTAGTTCAAAAGTATCTCAGTTGCCTCCAGTCGTCTTCATTTAGTTCGGTTTGGAGAATAGGTTACCAAGATAAGCTGCCAAACTTTCATAACTGAAGAGTCAAGTTCCCAAAGTAGGCTGAGATTCAGCATGGTGTAACTGATAGAATATATTTGTTTATTACATTTATATACCACCTCTCTCTTCCAAGGATCTCATGGTGGTGTACATGGTTCTCCACATTTCATTCCATCCTCACGACAACCATGTGTGGTAGGTTAGGCTAAGAGACAATGACTGGTCCAAGGTCACCCAATGAGCTTCATGGCTGAGTGGAGATTCAAACCCTGCTCTCCCAGGTCCCAGTCTAGCACTCTGACCATTATGCCACACTGGCTATGGACCCGAGATACCTTGCTTCAAATCCCCTGGCTGCAAAGCCCACGGGCAAGTCACGATCTCTCAGCCTATCCTACTTTCGAAGTAGGCCGAGGCACCAGCTATCGAAATAGACTTAGTCATGGTTGAGAAGATGTCCCCATAGATGTGTTCTTGAGCCATAAGAAAGCTTTGCGACAGCCATTTCAAAAAACTAGAACTGTATAATACAGTGTGAACCAGCCATCAAACACAGGAGCTTAAAAGTAGTTTCATCAGCCTTGATGTTAGCACTCACTCGGGTCTGGCGACTTCTGTTGCCAGTGTATCTGAAGAAGTGTGCATGCACACAAAAGCTCATACCAATAACAAACTTAGTTGGTCTCTAAGCTGCTACTGGAAGGAATTTTTTTTATTTTGTTTTGAGTGGACAGTGATTGATTCTGAAAAAGTAGTTTGCCAGGCCCACCAGTTAAAAGGGATCCATCGCACAGAACCACATTTGTGGGTTGATTTTTTTAAAAAAATTGTCTACATAAAGCTGATTTGGGGAACTGCCTTAGTTAATATCTATAGACTGAAGATTCATTCCTATTAATATCCACTGACCAGCCACCCTATTGTTCTTTTGCAGCAGGCAAGACAGAATGAAATATCTTAAAGGCAAAACAATATAACTGGGTCCTGAGGGTGGCAATTGGCTGTTTGGGGATGGGGGGGGGAGAGGAGAGGAGCTTTTCAGTGGTGATGCCAGGACTTCGCAACACCCTCCCCAGAGCACCTTGCCTGGCACTTCCTTCAACGTACCGTATTTTTCGCTCTATAAGACGCACCAGACCATAAGACTCACCTAGTTTTTGAAGGAGGAAAACAAGAAAAAAATATATTCTGAATCTCAGAAGCCAGAACAGCAAGAGGGATCGCTGCGCAGTGAAAGCAGCAATCCCTCTTGCTGTTCTGGCTTCTGGGATAGCTGCGCAGCCTGCATTCGCTCCATAAGACGCACACACATTTCCCCTTACTTTTTAGGAGGAAAAAGTGAGTCTTATAGAGCAAAAAATACGGTATTTTAAGCACCAGTCAGATACCTTCGTTTTCTTGCTGTCATTTTTTGTCTCTCTGCCACAGGATTTGCAGCCGCTCACATTTTTATGGATTTGCACTTTTACCCTGTATTTTATATTTCACAATGTTTGTAACTGCATGTTTGTTAGCCGCCGTGAAAACCTTGTTGACGGGCAGGACATAAAATATCCAAATTATTAACAATTCACAATACACAATCTTTTTCCCTCTGAGGGGGTCACATTGCTGTGCCTCCCCACCACCACATCACCCCATACATTTAGCAGAGACAGAGTCACCCTTAGGCAAATATGGGACTTGCAAAAGAGACGGGGCTTTTGCTACTTTACCTCATAGCTGGCATACTTATCGAGTGACGAATGGAGTAGCTGCTACTCGGAAGCATTAAGGGGAAAGGAGGAACATATTAGAAGCAGTTAAAACCCTGGAAGCCGCCACACCCAGTTGCCCCCATCCACACAGCGCCATGACAAAACCGCAAAGCATTTTGGAAGGCTTCCTTTGTGGAGAACTGTGTTTTGGGGGTGCAAATTGCATAGCTCCTCTGTTCCTTCCCAGCCTTCCTTGATAGGCAACCACAACTGAAAATGCAATCTTTCACAAGCAGGCTCTCCGAGGCTCTGAAACGCCCCCCCCCCCCCGAAAGAACTCCCCCTCCAAAGTGTGCCAGAGGTTTATAACTAAAAGCAAAGGAATCTACTGCTCTGCCTGTCGACTAGTAAATAGATACAAAACGCCACTGCTGATCTCGATTCAAATCAGCCAGGGAAGAGGTGTATCTAAAGCTGGGGTCCCCCAATATGGTACCTTTGGGCACTAAAACATCCTGGGAGGGGTCTGGAGGGGGGTTCTTTGCTTCCCGGAGGGTGGTCTGCTTTTTGGGCTATGTAAGGGTTTAAAGGTAAAGGGACCCCTGACTGTTAGGATCCAGTCGCGGACGACTCTGGGGTTGCGGCGCTCATCTCGCTTTACAGGCCGAGGGAGCCGGCATTTGCCGCAGACAGTTTTTCTGGGTCATGTGGCCAGCATGACTAAGCCGCTTCTGGTGAAATCAGGGCAACATACGGAAACGCCGTTTACCTTCCCGCCGGAGCGGTACCTACTTATGTACTTATACTTGGTGCTTTCGAACTGCTAGCTTGGCAGGAGCAGGGACTGAGCAATGGGAGCTCGCCCCATCGCGGGGATTCGAACCGCCGACCTTCTGATCGGCAAGCCCTGGGCTCTGTGGTTTAACCCACAGCGCCACCTGCGTCCCATGTAGGGGTTTAGCCTGGGTCTTTTGGGGAGTGAAAGGCTCTGAGCACTGCCAGTTTTCCTCCTGCGAAATGGGTATTTTGTGGCACCCGCAGCCGTTTTCGATTCCCAAATGTGCTCCTGGGCTTCAATGGGTTGGGGACCCCAGACTCAAAGCATCCACTGGTGTTGCCGCACCTTAGAGAGCAAGCGTGACGGACACACAGCCCTCCAATCTACAACTCCAATTCAGACCTATCCAAAACAACCAGTGGCTAGGGATGGGTGGTGGGGTCTGCAGGCACCAGGTTCCCCTCTTCTGTTGAAGGGCAACATGAACAGGACATGTCACCACCCAGAGGAGCTTAAAGTCCAGCATCCCACATTACAGGAGCAGGCTGGATGTTGAACTGCAGCAATACTGCCTCTGGTCAAGAAGCCAAAGCCGCCCACACAAGCACCAATTCATTTTAATTCAAGGGAAAGCCTTTTAATACTGTGCTCTGCCCAAGAGACGCATCTGGCCCGCAACCAAGCCCTGGAGTGGCCTCTGTTTAAAAAAAAGGGGGGGGAGAGGCAGGACAGCACACAATGCTGTCGACACAGCAAAGTGGGGAAAGAGGCATTCAGATGGCTTTTGCAGCACTAGGTTTCTGAACCCCCCAACTTGCCTTCGGTCTATAGCCATCGGTGGGAAAGGAGAGCAGGTAAAAGCTCTCGCCAAGCATGCAATGAACCCGCACAGTTGTGACACTTTGGTGTAAAAAAGCTGCCTTTGTCTGGGGAGGAGCAAAGGTCCGGTTTGCCCAGCACCGTCTATTGTAGGCCAACTGGTTGTTGTTCTCAAGTGTCTTATCTGGCCCCCATCTGAGCCAAGTTGCGGAACGAAGCCAAAGGAAAGCTGTTCAGGCTCTTCTGTTGTGTCAAACCAGTTCTTGCGTTTAACATGACCACCCCAAAAAGGCATTTGGGAGCATGTATGCGTGAGAGATTAAGCAGCCAATAACCTCTCCTTTTTTAAGAGGGAAAACCAGAAGCTTTTGGCTTTGAGCTCATTGGAAAGATACTGGCAGCATCTATAAATGGCTCTGGAGGGCTGGAGTGTTATGTTGCCATTTGTGGCTCCCGATCCCTTTCCTTTCAACTGAAAGTGAGGCTCATGTGTATGCCTCGGAAAACAACCTTGTTTAACTAGATTCCTTGCAGATATCCCTCCTGAACAGTGTCTTACCTAAAGGAATGTGAGAAGGGGTGGGCCCTGGAGGAATCCAATGGCAGCAGGAAAGGAAAGCAGTGAAAGAGGCGATTAGTTGCAAATTCCCACACCAACCAGTACAACACAACACTTAAAAGATCCCAAAGGAACCCACCTAAAGGCCAACAGATAAAGAGGAAGCAGTGATTTCAGGAGAGGTTAGGAACATAGGAAGCTGTCCTGTACAGAGTCAGACCATTGGTGCACCGAGTCCAGCACTGTCTCCACAGACTGGCAGCAGCTCTCCAAGATTTTGGGGGGTACATTCCCAGCCCTACATGGAGATGCTCAGGACTGAAGCTTGTAGCTAATGCATGCAAAACAGATTACTTGCCACTGCAAGCTCCAGCCCTGCTTTATTCCTGGCACTGGGCACTGGGCACTGACCATGCGAGCATTAAGCCACGCTAAATTAACTTGCCGTTTATTACATCATTAAGCATGTGGCAAACCCTCATAGGTAAACAGATACGCTTGCCAACTTTTTATCCAGGGGAACTGCTAACTGGTTAAACCTGACCCCTTTAATCCACCTGTATTTACTATGTGGCCAGTGGGTCAATTCTACCAGACCCACAGATCACACAGCAGGGAGTTGCTCCCAGAAAAGAGAGAAAAAACATCTCAGATGCAAGTGTGATGAATACTGTGTAAATCCTGCCTGGAGAGTGAAAACCTCCACCTCCCTAAGAGGCTAGAGAGAGAGGGGTTTCATTTTAATGTGCTATGGAGAATTCTGTATCCAGCCCTTCAGGGTAGAAATCTACAACCAGATAATGATTTTCAACTTTGTAGAGAGGGGCTTTGCATTTCAAGGGCTGCATGTCCTCCAGCCATGAATGCATAACACACTCTCTGGGTTCAATTGACTTTTACTTAGTACACCACCAAAATTAATCTCCAGCTTTGCCAATACAGTGGTACCTCGGGTTACCAACAGTCCTGCGTATGAACGCTTCGGTTTATGAACTCCACAGACTCAGAAGTAGGTATCCCGGGTTGCAAACTTTGCCATGGGATGCGAACGCAATCCGCTTCCGAGGCTGAGGGAGGCCTATGTAGGGAATGCGTGCCACGGGTTAAGAATGCTTCGGGTTAAGAAGAGACTTCCGGAACAAATTAAGTTTGTAACCCGAGGTACCACTGTATATAAGGGCTGCTATATTTCTCTTTACACTTCCTTTCAAGCCAGGAATGTGTGTGTATTTTTGCTTAAGGCATGAAACAGATATTGGTAACAGCCGGGCTCTCTCTTTCATGAACCAGTAACCAGCATTTGCTTCTTCATCCCAGAATCCTACAGGCAACCTGATACCCGAGTCCATCTGCATCTTCAGATTAGTGTCTAAATGCAGACCTCAAGGCTTCAAAATGCAGAGTTATTACTATTATTGTTTCTTCATGTTTCCCCTCATTCTCCCGACCCCTAAGATCCTGTGCACGGTTTTGAGAAATTTCAGTTGGCTTTAATAAGACACACTGCCCAAGTATGGATTTTGGAATGGACTGACACCATTGTACCAAGAGATTCAAGGACACCCTAACGAAACAGAAGAGTTTAGATCAAGGGTAGGCAACCTAAGGCCCGTGGGCCGGATGCGGCCCAATCGCCTTCTCAATCCGGCCAGCAGATGGTCTGGGAATCAGCGTGTTTTTACATGAGTAGAATGTGTCCTTTTATTTAAAATGCATCTCTGGGTTATTTGTGGGGCATAGGAATTCGTTCATTTCCCCCCCAAAAAATATAGTCCGGCCCACCACATGGTCTGAGGGACAGTGGACCGGTCCATGGCTGAAAAAGGTTGCTGATCCCTGGTTTGAATCCTTAACCGCTTCTCTTAAGTCATGTGAGTGGGATTTGGCAGCATGCTCAAAGCATCTTTTTCTGCCCCCGATTCCTCACAAGCTGTAGAGCAGCAAGGAGAAAATGCAAGCCAAGGTCTGGTAGCCAGAAATTGAGTGCAGCAGTGTCAGAGTTAAGAGGACTATGATTCCAAAGGACTCTGTTCCAAAGGAATATTGGGAGAACAGCTGTTATGAAATCTCGCATCCAAAAAGTCCAGTGCAATTTGGCCCAATTTGCATTGTACATAAAAGTTTGGTGATAGTGGCCCCTTGTTTTCAAGAGGGATCGTGAAAACCATGCCATTTGCCAATGCTGCAAGGCCGTTAATTCCATTCATTAAAAAAAAGATTAGCAGAGGCGTCTCTACTGGGGCTTTTCACAACAGTTAGTTTGCTAAGATGGGTTGGATCCAGAGGAAGTTATGTCACAGTTTGGTTCCATTTATTTCAGTGGAACAGGAGTGTGACTAAACTTATCAAGTTGGACCCTGAGGAAGTTAAATCAGATTAGATACTATAGAAAATATACAGGCAATGCGTCGAGGTTGAAGGCTTATCCAGCAGGTGTCTGCGAGTTCAAGGAGATTATTGTTGCTTAGACCTGACCAAGACCTTGTCCCTTCATCAATTACCTTTCCCTTTACTTGGAGCAGCCTAGGTGGAAAGTTTCATCCATGAACACACTTCAAAGCACACCAGCAAAACAAAGGAATGCAGTTTGCTTCTTAAGAGAATAGTATAAAAAGAGCAGAATCTCTAAAGCACATGGCAGAGATGAATGAGGCTGAACAGAGAGGGAAAAACCTCTTCTGCCCAAAGGAAAGAGGTTCACTGCAAAACACCAGTTTCACTCCTTTTAGTCTCTGATCACATAAGTCAAGCTTTGTTGCACAAGTCTGCCTTTCATTTGAGAGAATTGGTTCGGTAAGGACTAGGAAAAGAGCCTCTATGGACATCAGGATGAGACCTTGCAGAAGGAGGCAGCTTCTCTCTCACACTTGTTTGACTGCTGCTATCTGGGGCAGAGAAAATCACAAGCAGCAGTACTTTATTGACATTTAACTAGACATTACCAGGGTGTGGGAAAGAGACCACCACAAATTATCTGTCCCAACTAAGTTTCAACCACACGTTTGTTATGATGTGGATTGAAAGTTCGTTCTCTTTGAGGATAAACCACCAAAGACTCCATTTATCACATTACTCTAAGTGGCACAGGGCATTGCTCTGCCTTCTGCAAGGTTCATCCTTCTCATTAGCCTGGCTACGAGTTCTATTCCGACTTTCTTTCAGATCCTGTGTGATTTGGCCACAGTGACTCTGTACTATGATGACAAATACGTTGCTTTTTTAAGGACCACTGCTTTGTGGTTCAAAGGTTTGACAACCTGCATGAACATTTAAATGCTTCTTTAAAACACACACAGAGAGATCTATTCAATGTCTTTGCTATTCACACTGCAGGTGCTACATTGCAATTTGTCAATTTCAGGAAGTCGACCATGCACAACTAAAATAGCAAACTAGGTTCTGAAAATCCTAGGATAGGGGGTGGAAAAGCATGGGTCTTGTTTGCAAGCTGTATCAGTTTCCAGGAAAATGTTATCAAGACCAACGCATTTATGAAATAGTTCTCTGGGACATTTAAAGCAAGCATGTTGCTTTTGGTAAGAAAACGGTGCTATCTGCTAACTCGAAGAACAACACACACACAAATACACACATAACCACAATGTACTAGAGGTGGCAATAGTCCTGAAAGTGCTATTATGTGATCAGAGTTTATATCAAGCGCTTACCACCCAGATATTCCCAGCCAGAGAGGGAAAGGAGAATGTCTGAGAAGAATCAATGTTGCAGTGAATACAAGGGCTCAATTCTACGTTAAGTACTATTAACACATTAAGCAGTTGATGTATACAATATAGTGTAGCACAACACAGCTTGCATTTATAAAAATTCTCAAGAGTAAGGATTGAAGGGGAATCATTTGCTGTCCTGCATTTCACAAATAAGTGTGAACCTACCCTGTGAACCTTGGATAACTTCCTTCCATATTCTCTTGACCAAACTAAAGTGGCAACTTCACTTGTTGTAAGTTAATGCTAGTGGTGCATTAAATGGGCATACAGCATTTAAATAAGACTTCATGTGTCTTCATGGGGAAATGTAGCGTTAGGCTTCTAGTCGGCTTTTAGCCCTGTATTTAGACTACCACCAGTTCAGTTTAAGATGAAGGCTGAATGAGTTTCCAAACCAGAAACTGCATCCTTCAACAAACCCTACACAACTATCACCTGATTGCAGGCTACCAAAGTTTGGAGCACATAGACAATTTGCAACGGAGCTGAACTCTAGTGAAAGTCTAAACATTTAGGGGATGTTTTGATTGTTTACTTATATGCAGCTTTTTCATAATGAGATTGCCCAAACTGGCTTACAGCAAACATCGAAATATAGACCCTTTGAAATACAAATATACAAAATATAGAACATGTCAGTAAATTAAAATTTTTAAAAAGCCTAAACCGATTTGGCAAACAGAGAATAAATTCAATATTACACACGCATGAAAATTCTAGGCTTAAGTACATAAATACAACACAAAACAAGCGTTAACCAGCGATAAAGTTTTTGGTACTGGTCTTGCTGCACTCCCAAGAGGGGAGGGGTAAGTCCACAACCAAAGTTCTCACTGAACCCATGAACAAACAGGATTAGACCATCTAATGGGTTAAATGCCCCCCCAACTGACCATTTAAATAATCAAGCTTATAAAACATTAGGTGTGTAACAAGCAGAGAAATCTACGCCAAACAAGTGTTATTAAATTCTGGACACAAGTTCTAAACTTAGTTGCTTATACTGTAGTAGTATTACACAAGCACATGTGTAGGCAAAGGACATTATAGAAATCAAAAAAAATCCTCTGTAGTTTTTCATCTCAGAAAAACAGTGAAGCAGAAAAGAAAAGAAATCAAAGAATTTGTTTCAAAGATCAGTTTATGTTACATTATAGCATCTGGCACTGGGGGACCTGCTTCTAAAAGCAGAATACACTAACTGCAAATTCCTCAGAACTAAGGGGAACATTGCTTTTATCAGATATCAATAGGACATATTTTATTTTATTTTTATTTTTTAAGGAGAGGCCACCAAGGAAAGGCCATTCTTGGCTTCAGAGAAAATGTAAGTGAAATGGAAAGTCAAGCATTCGGCACCTCTCGCCCCTGTAACTGGAACCAGTTAATAATACCAGGGCTGTTAGATACTGATTGCTACTGTTGCACTGAGAGCATGCTCAACTTCCTCTCCCTTTGAAGCAAATATAGCACAGAAATTACCTCATGTCTCCAAGCTTCCGGCTGATCACAGAGCCCACGTTGGAAAGGGCAGCCGAAGTCTTCTGCCCTGCCTGCGAGAGAGTTTCCTGCGTCTTCTTGTAGCTAGGCAAGAAAAACAAGGCTTGTTAGCAGCTGAAGACAGCAATTAAGGAGGAAGGACGAGACGGTGCTAGGGGAAAAGGCAGCTGGTGTCTGGCAAACAGGGCTCTTGTGGATAAGGGAGACAGCGGCACTTCTGACCAGGGTCTCATTGTGCGCAAACATCACTTGAGAGTCGTCCATGGCTCTTCATTCCTAAACACCATGCAGCTGTGGTTAAAACAGGGCATACGCAGCTGTAAGCGACACTGGCACACATCCTCAGAGGCATTTACTGAAACTAAAAGACTTCAATGAATAAGTGAGAATGGCTGGAAAGTTGTCCAGCTGGTTCCCAGTGCAATGATGCATTTAAAGCCTTTTTGCACAGAAGCAGCGAAGTTGTTTCTTTAACGTATGCCTTTACTAACAGTGCTGATTTTAAAAAAATAAAATCTCATTGCACAGGGCTAGAAGCGTTTTCTCACTGCAAGTCGGTCAAATTGCATTTGGGGCATTCGTTCTCCTTACAACCCCATGCTTTTCCTTTGCACCCATATTAAAAAAGAGGATTTCTCATCTACCCAGAAATTAAAAGCGCCGCCCCCGCAAAAAAAGCTTTCAGCTGGCAACAGCATTAGAAATTTAGAAGGAACAGTTAACAGTGACAAGTTAATTCAGAAAAGAATCAGCCTTGCTTCTGCTATGTAAGGAAAATGTTTCCCATCAGTTACCATTAACATTGCTATTTTAAAGCAGGGACAATAGCAACACACTCCAAATAATTGAAGTACCCATTTCTGGGATAGTTTTCTGTCATCAATCCAAAGACTCAGATGGCACAGTCTTTATGTTTTAGTTCTAAACACAATATTTCAGTCCCTACTGAGCAAGTCACTAACATCCCCAGAAAAAATCAGTGCACAGAGGGAACAGATTAAAGATAGGATTATAGCCAAGCACCTTCTAAAATCTTCCCCTGATCGTTAACGTTGGAATTCTGCATGCACTAACAACCTAAACTCAGAGGGACTTGTCCCTCATCAGCCACGTACAAGATAAGACTATTTGCACTGCCATTAATTAGGATAGCATTTTTTGTATACAAACAGCCATTGCTGGTGGAGAGTATATTCCATATCCTAACGAGACTTATTATAGGCTTATTATACTTCTACGGACTTTCAAAGATTGACAGACGTGTGTTCATTTGACTTCAAATATATTAGAGTATTTACAAGTGTGCACATTTTGTTTTTGTTGTACTAAATTATGTATATTATGCAATAAGAATTGCAGTTCTATCTAGTATACAGTGGTGCCCCGCAAGACGAAAAACTCGCTAGACGAAAGGGTTTTCCGTTTTTTTGAGTCGTTCCGCAAGACGAATTTCCCTATGGGCTTGCTTCGCAAGACGAAACGTCTTGCGAGTTCTTGCAAGTTTGTTTCCTTTTTCTTAAAGCCGCTAAGCTGTTAATAGCCGCTAAGCCGTTAATAGCCGCTAAGCCGTTAATAGCCGCTAAGACGAAAAAGCCGTGCTTCGCAAGATGAAGAGACTCGCAGAACGGATTAATTTCGTCTTGCGAGGCACCACTGTACTAGTCTTTGTGTTGCTTGTATTGTTTGTTACTTTAAGTTTGCAACACAGGGGTTTGTTGTTCTGTATGTGGTCCATGGAGAGGCAAGACTTGTCCTCCTCGCCCATGAACCCAGGCCTGCGGTTCCTTCCTTTGAAAAATTATTAATTATCTAATTATTAAACCTGCACTGCAGCCTTCTTCCCGAAGGTGCCCAGTTCTCATTGAGGCTGGCAATTCTTGGGTGGCACCTGGGCTACTTTAGATTTACAGATGGGTGCTCATTTTGAAGCTTAATAGCTAAAAGTAGTGCTCCAGTAGGAACCCACCCGTTGAAAACAAACCTGCCAAGAAGGCTGGAGCCACCCCGATTTTCTATGTAGAGGGTCTGAGATGTGAGCCACAGCTGCATCCTCAAGAGGGCTGCTCAAAAGGCAGGCTGACCATCTCGCTCAAAGGGAGGCCTTGGTCCCAGCAAGAATTCCTCGACAGCAGTGTTTCTCAAGCTGGATTACAACTTCCATCATCCCCAACCACAGGTCCTGCTAACTAGGGATGATGGGAGTTGTAGTGCAACGACAGCTGCGGACCCAAGCTTGAGAAACACTGCTCAGCAGATATTAAACTTCTTCCATCTGTCAACCTAGGCAAGGCATGCTTTAGCAGAAACCCTCAGGCTTCTCAACCCTCTGTGCAGAATACAGACATACCTCATGTTACATCCACTTCATGTTACGTTCTTTCAGGTTATGTCCCATGGCGACCCGGAAGTACCGGAAAGGGTTACTTCCGGGTTTCGCCGCTCGTGCATGTGCAGAAGCGCAAAATGACGTCACGTGCATGCGCAGAAGCGGCGAATCGCAACACGAGCATGCGTAGACGTGCTGCTGCGGTTTGCACTCTTTTCATGTTGTGAACGGGCCTCCGGAACAGATCCCGTTCGCAACCAGAGGTGCCACTGTAAGGGCATTAACGGAGGCAGAACCTTCTCTGCAAGGGAGCCAAATGGGTAAGATCTGTACTGCAAATTCAGCATGCATCCTTTGAGTTGCACCTTATTAATGGAACTTGAAGGTCCTTTTCAATTAAACCAAACTGTATCTATTGAAGCAATGGACACACAGAACAGGAACGATGCGGATGTTCAGCTTAAATGTGGAAAAAAATCCCATCTGTTCAGGGACAGAATCTTGGTAACATGCTGAACTGGAGCCCACGATCTAGCAACCAGGCCATTTTACTTGCTTCCTTGTTTAAAGCATTGGCAGCTTCATTAAACATGGCTGCAGCTATCCCAGGTGTTGGTCCTCAGTTGTTTAAAAGGGCACATAAACGGCATTTGTCTTCTTCAGCATTCTCCTGCCCTGCATTAGTTGTTAAGATACTGCAAGGGTTGGCTGGGGACGACTTAGCAAGACCAGCTGACATGTAACTGTACCTATTATTCACCCTGACACCAAAAGCACCCCCTGATTACAGTCCAGCAAGTTCCTAACCATTTGTCCCCCAAAATGTGGGGTATAATCATCTGAAGGGATAGGCCAGCAGCATCCAGTCTCTGTATTACTCAAACATTAGGGGTTTTTTTAACGCTAACCCTAAGCCCCAACACTATTTCAAACACACACTCTCTCTCTCTGCTCAGACATCCAACACAGAAGCTCCTTAAGCACTGTACAAAAGCTGCTTCTACCCTAAGCATCCCAGAAGCCACATTTTGCTTCCTGTGCTGAAAAGAAAGCTCATGTACCGTATTTTTCGTCCCAGAGGACGCTCCGTCCCATAGGACGCACCTAGTTTTTTGGGGGGGGGAAATAAAGGGGGGAATTTCCCTTTATTTCCCCCCCAAAACCAGGTCGGGGAACAGCAGTATGGCGGCGCTGCGCCTCCCAGCTGTCCCCCGAGCTTGTGGGGCTGGCCGATGTCTGCCCGGCGCGAGGGGCGCTCTGCTTAAGGGCGCCCCTCGTGACGGGCGGCAGGCTGCTATCCACAGCGTGGGGAGCCCCGCGGGGCTCCCGACGCTGCGGATGTCTGCCCGGCGCGAGGGGCACTCTGCTTCAGAGCGCCCCTCGCGCCGGGCGACAGGCTGCTATCCGCAGCCTAGGGAGCCCTGCGGGAACTCAGGCTTGCTGATAGCTTCCTGAAGCCTGGAGAGCGAGAGGGGTCGGTGCGCACCGACCCCTCTCGCTCTCCAAGCTTCAGCGAAAGCCTGTATTTCCCCTTCATTTTTGGAGGGGAAAAAGTGCGTCCTATAGGGCGAAAAATACGGTATTTGCTTGCACTGCTCTGGAATAATACTGCTTATTCAGCTGAGGCCTCCCAAAACCCCATCCTGCCTTTGTGCCTTTCCTACAGCCCCAGCTGTCTTAGCAGAAGCTGAAGTTTCCTACAAATATAGGGAAGAGATATTTGCCTTGAAATACCCTAATACACAGCCTTCCACAAGCCAATGCCTTCCAAATATTTTGAACCAAAGATCTCTTCAGCTGTGCTAGCTGGGGCTGATGGAAGGTACCGTGTGAAACATCTGGAGGGCACTGGGTTGGGGAAGGCTGGTGCACACCTCCACGCCTAGTCATTTGTCACCAAATTCAGTGAAGCATTGGTACTTAACAAAAGCCTGAAAAGGAAGGCTAGCATAGCATGACTAAAAAAAGGTAAAAGGTAAAGGACCCCTGACAGCAAAGTCCAGTCACAGACAACTCTGGGGTTGCAGCACTCATCTCGCTTTACTGGCCGAGGGAGCCGGCGTTTGTCTGCAGACAGTTTTTCTGGGTCATGTGGCCAGAATGACTAAGCCGCTTCTGGCGAACCAGAGCAGTGCACAGAAACACTGTTTACCTTCCTGCAGGAGTGGTACCTATTTATCTACTTGCAGTTTGGTGTGCTTTCGAACTGCTAAGTTGGCAGCAGCAGGGACTGAGCAACGGGAGCTCACCCCACTGCGGGGATTTGAACTGCCGACCTTCTGATCAGCAAGCCCAAAAGGCTCAGTGGTTTAGACTGCAGCGTCGCCCTCGTCCTTATAGCATGACTAGAGGTGTTTAAAAATTCAGCTCCGGAAACTTTCCACCAAAGTTGACTTCCTGCTGCAGTTTTCAGGAAGCTGAAGCTTGCAAAACTTCCTGCTTTGCCAGGGGGTGTCCACTCAGATTAAACTCAGGACAAACTCTGATTAAACCCCACCAAAGTAAATTGCTTTCTGTTAACTCAAAGCAACTGCCGGGGTATGTCAATGCACAGCAAGGTAACCATACACTTTCGTGGGAGAAAGCAGGTAGCACTTAATCTCAGTTTAATGAAGGTCAAGTTCCTCTCTCAGAATTTCCCCCTAATCAGCCTAAATTGTAACAGGGGAAAAGGGCATGTAGCACTGAGAGGCAATGAGTTAAACAATAAAATACTTCAAAAGCAGACAAGTGTTGTGGGGAGGAAGGGTCAAGCTCCACAAACAAGTCACTAAGGCCAAGTACTATACAGTCATACCTCGGAAGTCGAACGGAATCCGTTCCAGAAGTCTATTTGACTTCCAAAATGTTCGGAAACCAAGGCATGGCTTCTGATTGGTTGCAGGAAGCTCCTGCAGCCAATCGGACGCCACGTCAGATGTTCGGGTTCCAAATAACGTTTGCAAACTGGAACACTCACTTCTGGGTTTGCGGCGTTTGGGAGCCAAAACGTTCAAGTCACAAGGCGTTTGACTTCTGAGGTACGACTGTAAATCCAAAGGAGCTTCTCGCAGGATAGGCCTTTCCCAGTTCCTTATTTCTGATGCAGTCCTATCCTTCCTATAAAGCCACTCCAGAGGACTAGGAGATCCTTCAGAGTGGCATTCAATGAATGAAGTGCTGCAGCAGGACTGGAAATCAGTAACCCACCCACCCCTCACATGTGTGCAAGCAGAAATGCATTCAATTCCAGCCTCAGCTTCTCTGAATTCAAGTCAACAGGGACTCTACCTCCCTCATCAGCTCCACTGAATTGAACGGGAAGCAATCAGAGTTACAGGGTTCTTCTATTACTTCCACTTATTTCAATGGGGATAAGATGCTCTCAATGGGGAGAGACAAACACATGCTTGCAGTTAGGAATTATGGAAGCTGGCTCTAATTTCCTTAAAAAGTGGCTCCTGGGGACATCAGAAGAAATATGCTGATTATGGTAAGATCATATAAGGACTATAACCAGAGGTTTCCTAGACATAAGGTGAACCAAAGGAAAATGTTGCACTGCCCTCCTGTTGAAACTAGGATTGGGAATCTACGGTTCTCCAGAACCCCCATCTAAGGGTTACAAAATGCACTTGTCTTAAGCTCGCTTTAATTTATATGCAGTAATGCTTCGCACAGGAGCATTAGTGTGCTTGGTTGGGTTCACTGCAAGGCCCTGTGAGCATACTGAATACAAAAACTTTTTTTAAAAAAATAAAACTCCATTCCCTTACCATCTAAATTCTGCACCAAGAAAAAAATGCATTCTACGACTTGCAAAACTATGCCATTTGCAACCATTTCTATCTTTGCAGTATAGTGTGGGTTCTTTTTCCTCGTTTGCATGATTTATTCTGCTTTGCTAGTCATGGGAGGGGTACAGTCACTGAAGCTCTCTGGCTGCTGAAATTTCAGAAATGCTGCCCACATACTTCCAAACTTTTTTTTTACACCCCTAAGGGCTAGAATTCATGCATTTAGAAAAATTAATTAAAAGAAGAGAACCTCAGGATTCTGGTCCCACTATTACATTCTGGATTACATTTTGCACTCCCACAGAACCGCAGTCCACAAGCAATAATCATCTGCAAGCTTAAGCTGCGCGTTAACCTGAACGAGGCCTATCAAAAGGAAGCGCAGAAGCAGGCGAAGGTGTTTACTGCCAAAGAGCAATGGGCAAACGTCAGGGTGGGAAGGATATCACAGATAATTTTATGGGATCATAGAGAAAGCTGCCACGCAGTAAGCTGCAGAGTCTAAGTCATCCTTCTCCCACTATCCCTAATTAGTCAGCAAAACAAACGGCGTTTAGAGAATGGAGACCAAGCAGGAAGGCAGTTAGTGCAGGGAAGGAACCGTTAGTTGCAGGATGCTATTGGAATAAGGGAACGTGCTTTAGGCTGAAGGTTAAGACACTCACGCTTCTGATTGGGTTAATTTCTCATTCCAGTCCTCCAGGGTGCTGCTGGCCGAAACATATCTATAAATACAACGGAAGTTAGAGAAGGGGCCAAAACCGTTCTTCCACAGCACTCCAAACCACAAGGGCTGTAACAAAGGCATCACTATTTCTTCAATCTTTTGTATTTATTCCTCCCTAGTTTGTGCTATTTCGAGGTCAGATTCCTTCCTGTTCTCGGGGCGAACCATCGAAGACACGCAGTCTTAAATAAATAAAATGTTCAGATGTTGCAAAAATGATCTCTCCAGCCCCTTCCTTTTCATGCTTGCGGAGGGCAGAGGGGAAGGCACCACCCTAGACTTAGCAGTCCTACTTTGCTGCCGTTAGATTAAAACAGAGCCCATCCCTGCAAGATCAGGCCCATGGCTCACCTAATCCAGAATCCTGTCCTCACAGCAGGCAGCCAGTTGCCCTAATGAGAAACCAGCAAGGCAGGATTCAAGCACAAGAGTTTACGCTGGGTGTTCAGGGAAGTGCATCAAAACAGCAACCGTTCTTCTTCCTTCCTTTGGCAAAGGCAGAAACGCCAGCGACCCCAAAGCTAATTTAATCAGCCTCTCCCACTATGGTTTGGTTGAGGCAGCTGCGTCTCAAAGAAATTGCCACACATACCTTTACACAACTTAACATTTGCCAGGTGCTTTGTTTTAAAGTGCAATTAAGTTTAAAAGGCTGCAAGGCTGCTGCAGTGCAGAGAGTGGTGGAAGGCAGGTTTTAAACTGCCGTTTCAAACATTTATTTCTGCGGAAAAAATCAATCTGAAAAGCTAGATTGGGGGGGGGAGAGAGAATGTGTCTCACTGTTGCCTATGGCTTGGGCTACCATTTGCAGTTAGATGCACTGCAGCATGTGGGAAAATAAAGAGTGAAGACATAATTGAGCGTCTTAAAACAAGGTCACACTAAGCCTAGGATTCTATAAATACAAGTGCTATAGCAGCCTATTAACACCCAGTCTTCAGAAACCGCTTTGAGGTTTTTTCTTGTGGGGAGGGGGCATTTTACAATCAAGCAGTGTATAAATGAAATAAAATTAAGATTTGGCTTTCTGAATTTTTTTCCTGCACTGGGGAGGAAAGTGTCTGCTTAACAGTTAGCTGGCTGGCTATAATTACCTAGTCCAGTCCCAGATATAAAGAAAAATACAAGCCGAGACAAATAATTTGGGTCAAAAATAGTTCTAGCAGGCCAGGCTGCCAGCTTTAAGCTGAATTGTCAGGCTTTGTAAAGTAAGTAAGCCTGAAAGAATCACTACTACCCTGACTTTCGCTCAAGGGGCTGTCCAAGGAGCGACAGAGTGCCCTGTCCCAACTCCACCAGCTTATTTGGATTTCTGCACTAGGCACGGGGAGGGGAGAGAGATTCTCATACGCTAATTCAGGCAAGGGTGGTCATGTGCCAGCATGCAGACCTACATATACAGGCATGCACGCAGTCGACCATATGGACACAACTTCCTCCCACAACTCAGCAACACCACATCAGGCAGCCTCAGCCCAAATCTCAAGCCAGCCAGGAGGCTGCAACACAGCCATGTCCAAAGTTGCTCCGTCCTGGCCTAGAACTAAACCCTGAATACATTTCTAGGCGTGCTTCCTCAGCAACACTGAACTCCGTGGGACCTTTGAGCAGAGATGCAGAGCAACACTGCAGGTCTATCAGCTTGAAGGTCTTGCACGGTCCCATCCATCCTCCTTTGCTGCCTCTTGCACCTGGAAGGGCAAAATGCTGCTGCTGCCGTCGCCTCTCTCACCCCCCAATGAAGGAACGATGCCTTCTGTGGCCACCTCACAGAGTGAAACCCAAGGCACCATTTCTCCTTTGCAAAGCAGCCTCCAGAAGAAGAGGTCCCCAGTGAAGAAGCAGGGAGCCAGGGTGAAGAACCCTTCTCTGCTGCCCGCAAGTGTTTGCAGGGGGGAAGCAATGGGCAAGAGTTGAGCATCCTTTCCCACGGCTGATCTCCCCCTTTCAACACCACTTTGTAGCCATGGAACATACAGGTATTCAACTAAGTTTAATTCGGAGTATAGTCACTGAAATTAATAGACCTTAAAGGTAAAGGGACCCCTGACCATTAGGTCCAGTTGTGAACGACTCTGGGGTTGCGGCGCTCATCTCGCTTTATTGGCCGAGGGAGCCGGCGTACAGCTTCCGGGTCATGTGGCCAGCATGACTCAGACGCTTCTGGCGAACCAGAGCAGCGCACAGAAACGCCATTTACCTTCCCACCAGAGCGGTACCTATTTATCTACTTGCACTTTGACGTGCTTTCAAACTGCTAGGTTGGCAGGAGCAGGGACCGAGCCACAGGAGCTCACCCGTCGTGGGGTTTCGAACCGCCGACCTTCTGATCGGCAAGCCCTGGGCTCTGTGGTTTAACCCACAGCACCACCTGCATCACATAAGACCTTACTTAGTCATTAATTTAAACGAGCCTACTCTGCATAAAACTTATACCACCCGATGGTTCCAGCCGAAAGCTAAAACCAAAAGCTACGAAACTGCATTTGCTAACACCCAGCCTTCACATTTCCCGCTCTCCTTTGTCCATGGTCTGCATGTGAGCATCAGAATCTGAAATGGTAAAACCTCCCTTTTGCCATGTACAGGAGTGATGCTGAATGAACGTAGCCAATTCCTGGCTGGACTTCTGCAATGTTTCAATGTGGCCTGGTAACTGATTGGAATTTTCCTTTCTCTATGCAAGGAAACGTCATGGAAGCCAGCAAGATGAGCTTAATCTTGAACGGGGACAAGAAATGTTTATGGGCAAAAGAATGGAGTTTTGACGTTAATAAGCGAAAGGCCCAGAAGTTGCTCCTCCAACATCCCAAGCACACAGCCAGCTTCCTCTGGGACCAAAGTGAAGGGGTAGAATGAGTCAGAGGAAAAGAGCCAGGAAGAGGGAGTTGGTGCCTGTAAGGCGGGAGAGGAACTCACAGGTCCGATCGGGTCAGTTTCTCATTCCACTCTCCAAGTTTCTCAGAGGTTTTCATATAACTAGAAACAAAAACCTGGGGGTCAATCACACTTTTGAAAGCTGGTGTCAAAATGGTTTCAAGAGAGGAGAAGAAAACCCAACAGCCAAGAGGCAGGTGATGAAATATTGACCCAGCCTGAGAAGTGGGTCTTGGCAACACTCCTGTCAGAGAAAAATGAAGCAGTGTGCGAGATTCACAGCATCCTGGGATGGGGAGCTAGAGTGTATTTGTAGCTTTGATACATGCATACAGTTCCTCAGATGCCTTTGGGAAGAGATTGTGATTTGGAATTATAAAATTAAATTAGAGGTGTTGCATGGCATGAATGGATTGGGGTGTGCACTGCAAAGCTGCTACAGCTGGAAGTCTTGGCAAGGAGGGTTTTAAAACCAGTGGGTTCTACGTAAGTCAAAAAGGCAATTAGAAGCCCAGACTGTGATCCAAAGAAGCACCAAGCCTAGATAGCTCAGTTGGTTAGAGTGTGGTGCTGATAATGCCAAGGTTGCAGGTTCGATCCCCATATGGACAGCTGCATATTCCTGCATTGCAGTGGGTTGGACTGGATGACCCTCAGGGTCCCTTCCAAGTCTTCAGCAAGTGTGAAGAAGTGGTTCTGGCTGTTGGAGCCAGATCCTTATCTCCCCTACCCTTCATGAGTCAGATCTGAGAGGTGGGCATGGGGTCAGGTGAGGGGACGCTTTGACGTTCCAACAACTGTTGCAGCTTCAGAGCGCTGGGCAGGCCATGCAAGGAACCCTGCGTGGTGCTTTGGAGTGCTGCCAATCAGCTGGTGCTCAGTCCTTCAAAGAACTGAGCAGGGCCTCTTGGGCAGGAGCAAGGAGTTTACAAAGAGCACCATGGCTCTTTGCCAACCCCTCCATGCAGCCAATCCCAGCTGGCTTGCCCCACTGATCGGCGGTGGATGGCAAGCCTCGCTTGCCAACACACAACTGGGAGCACTTTAAGGTTGCGCACTGGCAGCCCTGTCACGTGTGTTATCGGTTGTGGCTGTGGTTTGGGGATAAGTCTCCTGGAAAAGAGGTCCCCCACTGCTATGGTAAAGGAAGATTTACTGCTTCAGGATCTCAAAGGATAAAAGCTCATAGATAGGACTTCTCTTTTCTGTTGGAGCAAGCCCCAATAGAACACCACGTCTAATTCTTCAGGTTACAGTGGAAAAATCACCCTAGGCAACACCTACGCAGTGGAGACCTGGACATCATGCCAGCTCTTTGAGAGGTTTTGCTTCAGGCCATCCAAGGGGGTCAGGCCCAGCTTTCTCTTCAGCTCCCCGCAGTGTCTCTCTTTGGCAGCCAATACCTGGCGCAGGGTGCCTATCTCCTCTTCCACCTGCAAAAAAAAGAGGAGAGGTATCTGGGTTAGAGACCCGAGTGTCGCAGGAGCAGGTACGTAACGGTTCAGCATGGAAGGTGAGCCGTGACGTCCTGGCCTCCAAGAGAAGAGGCAAGAAAGACATGGACCAAAAAGCATTTTAAATGTATTAATCAACATAACTGCTTATTGCGCTAAACAGCTTTAGCTTTCTTCTGCAACTAGTGGGCTGCGGCCACAACTGGGTTGTAGCCTGTTCTAACGTGTGAGGCAGCAGTGGTGCTAAAGTAAAGGTAAAGGTACCCCTGCCTGTACGGGCCAGTCGTGACCGACTCTGGGGTTGCGCGCCCATCTCGCTTAAGAGGCCGGGGGCCAGCGCTGTCCGGAGACACTGCTGGGTCACGTGGCCATCGTGACGAAGCTGCTCTGGCGAGCCTGCACCAGCGCAGCACACGGAAACACCGTTTACCTTCCCGCTATAAAGTGGTACCTATTTATCTACTTGCACTTAAGAGTGCTTTCGAACTGCTAGGTGGGCAGGAGCTGGGACCGAGCAACGGGAACTCACCCCGCCGCGGGGATTCGAACCGCCGACCATACGATTGGCAAGTCCTAGGCGGTGAGGTTTAACTCACAGCGCCACCCGCGTCCCAGCAGTGGTGCTACCAACATACAAATACTTTGCAAAATTAAGAAGTAGGTCGGGCTAAAGGTAGCTCCCCAGAAGTCTGAAGATTATTTATCTAGACTGTTCCCCTGACTTGGGTCTCCGGCTGTTTTGGAATTACAATTCCCATCATCCCTGACGACTGGTCCTGCTAGCTAGGGAAGATGGGACTTGTAGTCCAAGAACAGCTGTATGGGTTTGGGAAATGCTGTTCTGGAGCAGAAATGTCCAGAAAGTAGGCCACAGTGGGCCGTCTAACAGCTGATGGTTTCTGGGATTCTTGCCAGAACACTGTACTAGCTGGACCTTGATCTGATTCTGCAAACGCTCTTTGTGTACACAAGTGAAGAACTCAGGGCCACTTCCTACAGATTGGTTGTTCCTTAACTGCCTAAGTATTATGGGCATGTGATTTTACTTTTGTGAGTTTAGACCATGCAGTTTCTGATTTAAAAAAAGTAGACTGCATAGAAGTGATATCAGCCTTTGTACAAAGAATATAATTGATTAGGGAGTTTCCCCAGCACATCAGCTTTAAGGGAGACCTGACACAGCAACATTCCTGATGGATGTGTTTGTTTGAACACAGCTCTCTGTTTCTGCAGCCAAGTTTCACATGCAGGCCAATTTGTGGTATGAAGCCCAATCAGGAGAAAGAGAAAATATCAAAGTGTTGCAATGTGTGAACAGTGGACCTGACATATCAGTGATTTGCTTCCGGTCCTCAAAGAAATCCAGAAGTTATTTGTCTACAAAGGACTGTGTGTGTGTTGCAGAAGGTTCTTTGGGCATGTTTCAGGACATACCATCTCAGCTTAGGTCTGGCCAGTGCCCTGAATGCTAGACTTGAACACTATCCCACAGAAGCTAAGTGCATGCCTAGAATGTGCCAAAGAAAAGTTTTTTAAAAGGAAAGTATTCAGCCACCTTTCTTTACTAAGCAACCACAGGATTCCTAAGGAGAAGGGTTTGAGAACCAGTTTTAGAAAACCATGCCCCAGTTTTAGAAAACCATGAGCAAGCGCTGTATTACAGAGAAGACCTACTGCCAAAGAACAGTGCAGTGTTGGAACTGGAATGGGGAGAGTTTTATGTCCCCAGAGAGATAGCCATGAAGCTCACTGGGTAATCTTGGGCTAGTGCGTCACCCTAACAACTCACAGAGTTGTTCTGAGGATAAATGTTGTGGAGACCACATCTGCCACGCTCAGCTTCTGAGAGGAAGGGCAAGACAAAAATGTACTAAAGGGATATTTGAATTCCCAGGTAATGCAGCTGTTCACATAGTAGCACCTTCAAATGCCACAATATTGTATAATAATAATAATAATAATAATAATAATAATTTATTTATACCCTGCCCATCTGGCTGGGTTTCCCCAGCCACTCTGGGCAGCTTCCAACAAAACACTAAAATACAATAACCTATTAAACATTAAAAGCTTCCCTAAACAGGGCTGCCTTGAGATGCCTTCTAAAAGTCTGGTAGTTGTTTTTCTCTTTGACATCTGGTGGGAGGGTGTTCCACAGGGCGGGTGCCACTACCGAGAAGGCCCTCTCCCTGGTTCCCTGTAACTTGGCTTCTCACAGCGAGGGAACCACCTGAAGGCCCTTGGTGCTAGACCTCAATGTCCGGGCAGAACAATGGAAGTGGAGGTGCTCCTTCAGGTATACTGGACCGAGGCCATTTAGGGCTTTAAAGTCAGCACCAACACTTTGAATTGTGTCTAAGGCTCTAAAGCAGTGTTTCCTCAAACTTGGGTCTCCAGCTGCTGTTGGACTACAACTTCCATTATCCCTGACCACTGGTGCTAGCTAAGGATGATGGGAGTTGTAGTCCAACAACAGCTTGAGATCCAGTTTTGAGGGGAAACTGCTCTGAAGGAACATGTCTACAAAAGAGGGAACTACAAGGTTACACCAGGCACTTTAGAAATTCTGTTCTGTGGGCTTTCTAAGTCTGAGCTCTTTAGAGCTACAGAGGAAGAATTATCTGGGCTCCCTTGTACCGCAGCAACAGAGCACAGAATGTAGAAAAGCAGAGTGTGAAGGCAGCCTCCTTTACCTTGACCAGCTCGGCCCTTAGCTCCTCTTCCTCCGCTTCTGTGAGCCCATTGTAGGCCGAGGCCCTTGCAGGAGGAGCAGCGGTGGCGGCAGCACTCGTGTTATCCACAGGCACATCTGTCATAGTATCCGACAACAGACCTTTGTTGGGAGAGTTAAGGTTGATATCTGTCATGGACAAGAAGCAAACCAGGGAGGAAAGGATAAGCAGCTAAAAGGCAGAGCATGTTAGTCTTGCAGGCGCCCCTCTATACGGCGAAGGAGAAGAGGGAAAAGAGGAACAGGCTGTTCTAAATCAGGTCCTGCTCAAGAGACCCGCAGAAGCATATTTGCATTATCAAGAGCTCCAGAGAAGCAGTTCTCACAAGCTGCATCCACAACAACTGTGCACTGTCTGCTGTCCCTGGAGACATGGCCTCTTCCCTTCCCCTCCAGCTGACACGTTCGGGGATGGCAATCTAGCGATCTTGTCATTCTCCTTGCAGGGAGAGCAGGTAGCTCAAGGCTGCCTCACACAGTAACCCAGTAACAAACCCAGGTTTGCCAGAGCGTACATAGGGACTTGACTTTTTATTATCAAGGCCATCTACCTTGTATTGTCTACACTGACTGGCAGCAGCTCTCCAGTTTCAGAAAGGGGTCTCTGCCAGCCCTACCTAGAGATGCCAGGATTTGAACCTGGGACCTTCTGCGCTCAGGGCAGATCCATAAACTACAGTCCTTCTCCTCCCATACCCTTGATAAGGGAGCCAACGCTAGTACTGGCATTCTGAAGACCACATCTCTACTGCACACATCCTCATATTATTCTCATGCCCCCTGCAAAACGAAGGGGTGGGCCTATTAAGACCACAATGGGTTGCCTTTCTTCTTGTAATCTATATTGGAAGTGTCCCAAGGGATTTGGTGGCCCAGCTGCCTCAGGAGTGATATTATGCTGACAGTCTCTGGCAGAGGAGCTCCTCCGAGCCCAAAAGGGTGGGGTAAACAGAACGGTCTCTAGTTGCTTGCTGTACATGAGCTTGGGGCAGGGTAGGGGAAGTGTGATACAGATGAGGCAGAAAAGCCAAAATCCACACTCTGTTCCAAAGTTTGTGGGGGAGAAGCTTGCTAAGTTGCTATCTCTACGCGAGCTTACCTCATCGTTTTGCTGCAAGGCTATAAATCACCTTGCTGATTGCTTAGAGGGATGGAAGTGCAAGACATGAATAAATGAAGCTAATGCAATATGACCTCGCTGTCAAAGCCCTAACCATTTCCCACAAAGATGACTGTTGGGCAAGATGGAAGGGAGGCTTTCCTAGGTAAATCAGCCACAAACAAATGTGGAAGGCAAGCTTCAGGAGTTTTTCCAATTCTGCTGAATTACGTTACTCTTCAGCAATTGCGATGACAGCCTCTAGGGCAGGGGTAGGGCACCTGAGCTGGGGCCCTCCAGATCCGCTCCAGACTGCAAGGGGCAGATGAGAAGTTTGGGCCACAGGCTCCCATCCCAGCTCCAGAAATTGCAAGATGCCCACTTTTCAGCATAAAAAGAAGTACTCTTGCTGTCTTTACCCCTCAAAAGCCCTGCAGATAAGATAGCAGCTGCACTTTCAAAGACACAAAGGAGCAGGCAAAAGGTTAGTTTAGCAAACAAAGCATCACTACACACACGACTGTGTGCTACTGCTCACAGCAGACGGGAGTCGAGAGCCTACATAAGCACGTTAGAAATTAATGCAGCTGCTTGAAAAACAGAGGAGAATCACACAGACCGTATGCTTTCATTCTTTGCTGGTAAGCATCAAAGGCAAAACTCTCAAGAAAAATGAAAGCAGGGAATCTACTGAAGCTCAAAGCTATAACTCTTTGATCTCAAGCTAACCCACTTAAAAGGATGGTGGGTAGCTCAGATTCTCGAGCTCTACATTCAGCCTGGAATTCCACCGCAGGTCCTCCCCACCTAGACCCCTGATCAAATCCTTGGGGCTAGCGCAAAATCAAAGACCAAGCTTAACATTTGGAGTCTCCCGACTCCCATGATCACTCAGCAATCTATATGCCCTGCCCACCTAAATTCAACCATCATGCCCATCCAAATCCGCACTCCGCCACGACCCCCACTGAGTGTCCTTGGGCCAGCTGTTGCCTCCTAACTTGTTGTGGGGATTAAAAGAGGAGAGGAGACCTATGTAAGCTCTCTGATCCACCAACTTCTTCTCTCAGCTTGGCCTACACAGAAACAACTCTTGCATGTAAACACCTTCCTTTCTTAATACTCCCCTTCCCACTCACTCTCCATGTGGCGCACCCTAACCCACCTCAAAAGCAAACATTCCTGCTGCACTGGATTTAGATCCAGGCCCAGTTCTCAACTTTGAGGTGGTCTTATTTTTATTTAATGTATAACAAAAATAAAAATAATTTTTTTAAAAAAATTGTAATAATAAAGCTGTGGGGTACATTTAGGGTAGCTGCTACTTAAGACAACTTCCCTGCCAGCTTAAAAGGAATACATAATTAATTACAAGAATCACTCTAATCAGCATAGGAAAAACACCAGCACCAGCTATGACCTTACAAACTCTCCAGCCAGCTGAAACCCCAGCATCTGCTCTCAAAGGCCACTCCCCAAAAACAAACAGATGCTCAATCCCCATTTAAAAGCTCGCAAGGGAGGAGCTACTGGAATCAGGAAGGGTATCCCATAATCATGGGGCTACCACCGAGAAGGCTCCCACATAACATGCCTGCCAGCCTGCACACCGAAACTCACCTTGTTCCACAATACAAATAAAAGGGGGGAATCATTTCCCCCCTTTTCATAACATTTATACACCCCATGATCGTAAAATAAAACAAAAAAAACTTCAAGTGGTTTTCAAAACATAGTAATCTAATATCAGAGAGTAGGCTGGCTTAGAAGCCTTCTTCGCAATATACCACCTTTCCACGTGCAGGAATCTGTCCACTTACACAGCCTAGAAACCGTCTCCCTGATACGCTGGCTTTCTTCATGCAGGGCTCTGCCTACTTACATGGCCTAGAAGCCTCGTCCCCAACAGGTTAGCTTTCTACTTGCAGGAATCTCTTCACTTAGCCTAGAAGCTTTGCCTACTTACATACGGGTTAAAATCCTACCCCTATAAGTTACCTTTCTACATGCAGGAATCTCTTCGCTTATACAGTGTAGAAACCTTCCCCTCGACATACTAGCTTTCTCCGTGCAGGGCTCTGTCCACTTCCATGGCCCAGAAGCCTCGTCCCCGACAGGCTAGCTTTCTACATGCAGGGATGCGCTCGCTTGCCAGGCCCCGCCCCACCCGCCGCCCCCCTTCAGCCCGAGGCGGTGCCGCCCTGGAGGAAGCCGAGAGCGGGCCGGAGGCAGGATGCGTCCCGCCCCGGGGCCTGGCCTCCTCCCGCCCCCGCGCGGCCTTCCCAGGGGGACGAGGCAGCGGCGGCCCTCTCCCCGGCCCGGCCTGCCTTGGCCTACCCTGGCTGGCGCTCTCCATCTCGCCCGGAGGCCGCTGCGCAGCTACGCGAGGGAAGGAGGCGGCGGCGGCGGCAGCAGCGGCAACAAACTCCTGGCTTGACGGCGCGGCGACGTCACACGCCTCCCGCTCTTCCGTCTCCGCACAAACACACGCTCACTTCCGGCCTCCCCCGGAAGTCGCAGCTATCAACGTCATCAGGAGGCGCTTGCGGCCTTAAAGAGGAAATTGCAAAGGGCCAAAGCTGCCGCCCTCACTTCCGGATCCCTTTTGACGCTTCTGCATTGAGGAGAAATCCTCAATATAAATCGGGATTAGACTCTCCATTTGCTTTCTCCACGTTGGCCGAGGTGTGCCGTTATCCTTCGGTTCCCTTTCCCCCCCTGCTTTGGGGAGAAAAGCGTGGCTTTTTTCAAAGCAGGGCAGGCTGCCTCTAACCTATCTCGGAAGCATTTTTAACGGCTGGAGTAGAAATCTGAAACAGAAATTGCATTTCTGTTCCTGATTTTACACTGAACCTTAAATGTCTTCGCCGTTCAGTCCACGCGCTGTTACGACCTGCGATCGGGATCCGGAACTAGTCTGCGGGTTCGCTCCAGCCCGCAGCCCTTTGGTGTCGCTCTTTGGCTGCAGACCAAAGGGGTTCAATCGCAAAGTAGCGCTTGTGATTTCCGGGCAGTCTTGTCGACGGCGCTGCCCTGGACGTGGTTTGAGGGGTGACAGAAGTCTGCGGTGCGCAACTGCAGTTACTTAGTCATTTATATATGTTGTTGTTTAGTCGTTTAGTCGTGTCCAACTCTTCGTGACCCCCTGGACCAGAGCACGCCAGGCACTCCTGTCTTCCACTGCCTCCCGCAGTTTGGTCAGACTCATGCTCGTAGCTTCGAGAACACTGTCCAACCATCTTGTCCTCTGTCGTCCCCTTCTCCTTGTGCCCTCCATCTTTCCCAACATCAGGGTCTTTTCCAGGGAGTCTTCTCTTCTCATGAGGTGGCCAAAGTCTTGGAGCCTCAGCTTCAGGATCTGTCCTTCCAAGTGAGCACTCAGGGCTGATTTCCTTCAGAATGGAGAGGTTTGATCTTCTTGCGGTCCATGGGACCCTCAAGAGTCTCCTCCAGCACCAGAATTCAAAAGCATCAATTCTTCGGCGATCAGCCTTCTTTATGGTCCAGCTCTCACTTCCATACATCACTACAGGGAAAACCATAGCTTTTACTATACGGACCCTTGTTGGTAAGGTGATGTCTCTGCTTTTTAAGATGCTGTCTAGATGCTGCCTGAGTGCTCACTGGAAGGACAGATCCTGAAGCTGAGGCTCCAATACTTTGGCCACCTCATGAGAAGAGAAGACTCCCTGGAAAAGACCCTGATGTTGGGAAAGATGGAGGGCACAAGGAGAAGGGGACGACAGAGGACGAGATGGTTGGACAGTGTTCTCGAAGCTACGAACATGAGTCTGATCAAACTGCAGGAGGCAGTGGAAGACAGGAGGGCCTGGCGTGCTCTGGTCCAGGGGGTCACGAAGAGTCAGACACGACTAAACAACAACAAGCCTTGTTGAGTTTAATGGGACTCATAACTCCATTAAGCCTGGGACTGATGGAAGTTTTGGTTGACAATCATCTGCAGGGTACTAGGTTGGTAAAGGCTGCTCTGGTGGGTTTGATTAGTAGGGGAGTCTTCCCTTCTCCTCTCCTTCCTCCAGTCTGTTATGTCTCCTTTTGGACTGTAGGTGGAGGTATCAGCCCAGGTATCCCTTCTGCCCCCGGCTTGTTGCTTTCACATCTCTAAATTAATATCTCTAAATCCACGCACCTCGGTTTAGCATCCTGGCAGAAAGATGTTCCACAAGCGAGGGGCAAGTGGTGAGTCACTGGGAAAATAAGCTCTCATGTTACAGCTTAGCTGAGGCAATCTAGCTTAACCACTTTTAAAGGGATTTCTGGGGAAATCATTCCGACTTAACCATTTCTGCTTTCAGGGACATCTGCATGCCGCATTACGCAGTGAAGAGGCCTTTCTTCTCAGGAACTGGGCCTTTATTGTGGTGGCAACTACCCTTTGGGACTCCCCTTACAGATTAGACAGACACCTCTATTGTCTTTTCTACATGAATTGAATACTTTCTTCTTCAGTTATCCCACTTGTCTGCTTCTGTAGTGGAACTATTTTTTTTTGTTATACCTGTTTTCATATGTGGAATTGTTTTAAAATGTCCACATTGTTGCTATATATAGAATTGCTTTATAAATGGAACTGCGGTGGTTTTTTTGATGGTTACGATGCTTTATCTGTTTTATCAGTATATATTTTATTGTTATCGGGACGCGGGTAGCGCTGTGGGTAAAAGCCTCAGCGCCTAGGGCTTGCCGATCGAAAGGTCGGCGGTTCGAATCCCCGCGGTGGGGTGCGCTCCCGTCGTTCGGTCCCAGCGCCTGCCAACCTAGCAGTTCGAAAGCACCTCCGGGTGCAAGTAGATAAATAGGGACCGCTTACCAGCGGGAAGGTAAACGGCGTTTCCGTGTGCTACGCTGGCTCGCCAGATGCAGCTTGTCACGCTGGCCACGTGACCCGGAAGTGTCTCCGGACAGCGCTGGCTCCCGGCCTATAGAGTGAGATGAGCGCACAACCCTAGAGTCTGGCAAGACTGGCCCGTACGGGCAGGGGTACCTTTACCTTTACTATTTTATTGTTGTAACCCACCCTGGATCTTGTATAAAGGGTGAATAAGAAATGTAACAAATCAATAAATTACACAAACGTCACAAAGTATTGCCCTTCTGGGGTATGTCTTGGGCGGGGGTATTAAAATGGCAGCTGTCAGCAACATGGAGGCTGTAAGCGCCCTTGCTGACACGACTTTCATGCTCCTACAAAATTCACCCACCAGCACCCCAAAGGCAAAATAAGGGAACTGGTTTCATACACCACCTTTCGTTCAGTTCTGCTCTGTCCCCTTAAAAAACAAAAATACCCAGGCTGAACTTTCAGCCTTCCCGAAGTTTGGCCTGGTCTCAAGTTAAATCCTTGACATTTTCAGCATCTGCACCTTACGTTTAAAACACTTTAATACCTCTTTCAGAGTTTCTACGGGGATATACGCTCGGTATTTATCATTCCTCTTACACAAAAATCTCCAAATGGGTCCGAACTTCAATGTCTAAAACTCCTGGTAGAGGACAAGGATCTAGAGATCATGCTAAGGGCGGCCAAATTCTGTGCGACTGCCATAAAACTCAGGTGCCCAAACGTCTTGGGCTGGCCCTGGCGAGAGTGCTTTATATGTACGGCACAGACGAGCTAAATCATGGGTAGGCAAACTAAGGCCCAGGGGCCAGATCTGGCCCAATCGCCTTCTCAGTCCTGCCCGCAGACGGTCCAGGAATCAGCATGTTTTTACACGAGCAGAATGTGTCCTTTTATTTAAAATGCATCTCTGGGTTATTTGTGGGGCATAGGAATCCGTTCATCCCCCCCCCAAAAAAAATATAGTCCGGCCCTCCACAAGGTCTGAGGGACAGTGGACCGCCCCCCCTGCTGAAAACGTTTGCTGACCCCTGAGCTAAGCCATGCATCGTATTTCGGTTTCGTCCACCAAAGGAACGTGGCAGGGAAGAGACAGCTCAGTCGGACGAGCTCAAACCTCTTTAATCTGAGAGTCGTGGGTTTGAGACCCACATTGGGCCAAAGAGCCTTGCATTGCAGGGGGTCGGACTAGATGACCGGCGTGGTCCCTCCACAGTATGCAGTTCTAGGATTCTATGTCTGTCCATACTTACTGATCATGCTGGTGCTTTTGGAAAGAGAGAGAGACCGTCTGATAGTCCCTCCCAGGGACATAGGCCTGAGGGTCCATGTGCACCCTGCACCTGGGGGGGAGAAACAGATAAGAGGTTCTCGGCTGACACATAGCTGTCAACTTACAGATTTGAAAATAAGGGACCAGCAGCCTCGAGAATAAGGGATCAGCAGCCAAAATAAGGGATTTTAGTCAACCAGCTCCTTTCCTTTCCCCCATAACAGTCAATCGAAGGAGCCTCCAAAACAAATCCAAAAGCCCCCACACACACGAGATTGCCGCCCGCCATTGTACTCAACCAGCTCCTTTCCTTTTCCCCCACCATGTGACAGACCTTTTCCCCGGCCAGGGTGAGTGGGCCGTCGATGACATATCCATCCGATTCCAAGCACAGGTATGTTCAACTTCTGAGCCCCTCCGAACCAAAGGCAGAAAGCCCAGCCAACAACCAAACGAAGCCTCAAGTGGTGGTTCCCACAGCGCAGCAACCCGGCAAAGGGGATGCAGCAAGGAAAACCACCATCACCTCTCCGCTGGGAAGCGCTGAGCAAAGGCGCTTCCGGGTTGGCGCCATCGCCAAATGGCGGACTCCCTCCGAGCTCCGGAGGGAGCCTGCTCGGCAGGGGCTGGGTCCTACCCGCCGGCGACGCGGGGACCCTTAAAAACCACGGGCACGGAGCCCGTGGACATGGGTGACTCGGCTGGCACCGTTAGCGCCCTCCCGACTCGTGAAGGAGCCTTTTTAAAGGCTACGGATCGGGTGCCGGGGAGTGGCGTGGTGCTTTGAGTCCTCTGCTTTCCCTGCCGAGCGAAGCCGCATGCCATCCGGTGGAGAGCGCTGACTTCTTCCATTGAAAATTCGGACTTTTAACAACAACCCGTGAGTAATTGGGAAACCGGGTTTAAAAGGGGGAAAAAAGGAAATTTTTTTCGGATTTGGCACGAGCGGGGGGGATCCAAAAAGGAAGTCAGTCCCCCTCCCTACTGTAAACATTTTAAAGCAAGGACTGGGTAACCAAGGTCTAAAAAGAATCGTATTTCTGACAAAAATTAAGAATTCCACGATGGAAAACTACAAGAACTGTGCTGGAGGAGAAGAGTGGAGGGAGAAGGAAAACGCAACCCCCCCCCCCTGGGAACCGGGGCGATTTGTGAGAGAGCCTGGTGAAAAGAGACGGAGACTTTGACAGCTGTCAAAGTAGCTGTCAAAGTCGGAAAATTTAAAGAGGACTTTGCTAGTTAATTTCGTTACAATTTGCTACGATTTGGATACAAAATGTTGAAAATATGGAACAACAATCGGTCTTTTGGATCAGAGGAAACAAAGTTACTACAATCCCCCTAGAGGGGTTTCGGGACATTACAAAGATGGTCGTAAGTGGAAAAATACTCTTGGAATTGTACAGGGCTTGTTATCTCCTGGGAAAGCTGCAAAACTGAAATAGTATTTTGTCTACAGGGGTGTTTACACTAAAGGAGACAATAGAATTTTCTATTGAAGAAAGGAAGGGACTGAACGCAAGTTTTTGTTCCTGAATAACAACAACCCCTGTAGAGCTACTAAATTTCTGAATTAGAACGTTTTAGCAGCGGAACAAGACAAGAAACTGGACTACAACATGGAAAGAACAATGGGGGGAGCCTTAAAGACCAAGGAAACTAAAGGCCCTTAGGGGCCGTTTTTGGATTGGAGATTTGAAGTTAAATACCATACAAATAACTTTTAAAAAAAAACTGGCAAGGAACTGGGGGAAAATCTGATTATGGATCTAAGACTTCCAGGCAGACAACAGACAGACTGATGGACATGGGGAATCTAAACTGGGGAAGGGGGGGGGATTTAGAATCCAAAGGCTGGGTAACTATTTTCTGGAATTTTTTTTATATACTTTTTATCTTTTATATCTTTATATAGTTTTTTATACTTTGTTGGGGCGTCTTTATCAAAAAAAAGGGAATTCGTGGAAGGAAAATGGGGTGGACTTTGGGGGGAGAATCTTTGATTTTTATTTAAGGTAATGATGATGACTGTATAAATTCAAATTTGAATATTGGGTTAAACAAATTAAGTTTTAAATTGGGAGTGAGAGCTTGTAGAACCAACGTTATGAAAGGGGAATATGGTAGGGATGGGGGAGGGGGGAGTCCCAGAAAGTGGGTAATGACAGTAAGGTTACAAATGTATTTTATTTTTGTTTTACTTTTACTTTCTGTATTTTGGAAATTTCAATAAATATGATTTAAAAAAAAAAAGGGAAGCGCTGAGCAAAGGCGAGTCCCCAGGCAACGCAGCCGATTTGATTGGCACAAGGCATGCCAGCTCCACCCCCCAGTCGTTCTTAGACTCCTTATTGGGTGAGCAACGTAGCCAAGCAACACAGTTGGAGCCTCCCTCCTCCCTGGCCAGCAGGCAGGGAGGGAGAGGAGCTGCTTCCTTTGAAACCCGGGAAATTTAAGGGACATCATCAATAAGGGACAGCAGCGGTACACGGCGCTGGGATAAGGGAGTTTCCTGCCAAATAAAGGACGGTTGACAGCTATGGGCTGACAGCCTTGACTTGTAACGTCCCAGCAGTAAGCAAAAGAAATGGGTTCTTCTTCTGACACCAGAACTGGCTGGCTGACCCCATCTGCACTATGCGTTTAAAGCAGTATAATACCACTTCGAAGTCATGGGTTCCCTTGCCCCAAAGAATCCTGGGAGCTCTAGTTTGTGAAGTGCACTGAGAGTAGGGCTGCCATGTCTTGAGGGGCAAAAAAGAGGACAGCCTGAGCCGTTCCCAGCCTGAGCCAGAGAAAGAGGTGCATGCCTTTTCCCCCAGCTCGGGCTGGCAGCAGCTGCGGTGTAACCCCAGCTCATATCTGATCTTCGCTGCGGTGGCTTCGCTCTGCTGTGGAGCTTCCGGGGCACAGCACCCTCTTGATCATGCCTGTGCCCCCCCCAAAAAAATCCACCCACCCCCCAAAATAAGCAAGCCAGACATTTCCTTTAAAATGAAAACAAATGTAAAAATAAGGGAATTAAAAAAAAATACAATACAGATTACTCAAATGTAAGAGAAATATGGAAACCGCAAAGAGATAGAGGGAAGTCAATTAACACAGAAGGGACTCAAACCAGTTTAGTGGAATAGAATGAAAGTGACGGTAAAGAAAAAAAGAAAGGATGAAATATGAAGGTAATGTCTTTCTAGGAACTTTGGATATAGAATATTCAAATAGTGGTTTGTACTTCTTTAATAATTTTGTTTATTTGACAATTTTTTCCCCTTTCCTTTTTTAATCTTTTTCTTTTCATATTTTTGTTTATGTATTGTTTTCTTTTCAGTATATGTGGGTGTAAGGATTACGGTAATTTATTTTCTTGTTTTGTAAATTTTAAAAAGCAACAAAGATATTTTTTTTAATGTAAAAATCCTCCCGGATAGGCATGTTGGCCCCCCCAAAAGAGGACATGTCCTTGTTTTCCTGGACATATGGCAACCCTAGCCGAGAGTTGTTAGGGGACTCCTGTTTGCTTCTTTTTTTTTAAAATAATTTTTATTAGTTTTTTAAACACAGAATATACACAAACAATACACAATACAAAAACATACAAACATATAAACATGTATAATTTCATAGCCGTTTTTTCATGACCTTGTTTCCCGGACTTCCCCATACCTTCCCCTCCCTGCATCCCTGCTTTAAACTTCTTCAGCAACTCCTCTGTCTAATTAATCAAATCAATTTCTTTTAAATTTCCCTAAATTTATTAATTACCGCTGCAATTCTCTATTTCCCAACCCCTTGACATTTTAACATTCCTGAATTTTACAATAAGTTCTAAGATACACTTTAAATTTCTTCCAGTCTTCTTCCACTGTCTCTTTCCCCTGGTCACGGATTCTGCCCATCATCTCAGCCAATCCCATATAGTCAATCACCTTCGTCTGCCATTCTTCCAGTGTGGGTAGTTGTTGTGTCTTCCAATACTTTGCTAGAAGAATCCTTGCTGCTGTGGTCGCATACTCCTGTTTGCTTCACAGAGCTACAATCTTTAGAGTTCCCTACCCAGAGGGATTGATTTTTAAACCAGTCTGAGAACCACAGCTCTGAGAGTGTTTAAAATGGTATGATACCGCTATAAATGTATAGTCCGGACAGGGACTCTTTCTGTTCTGTTTCCATTGCAGGTACATGAAGACACAACAGTTTGTCTTTGTGACAGTAGCAAATCTGTGTTCTCCCGGACACCTTCCCCCAAATCTGCTGATAAGGCTCTCTCACAGCTCTATGCTTTATCTGTACTCTGACATCTCTCATTGTTAAGCCACCATTTTGGGGGAAATCACATCATTATGGAACAATTCACTCTGGTCCTTACAATGATGAAGGACAGCTTTAAAAAGTTTTATAGCAGCGACGGGCGCTTGAGGAATTCAGTATTTGTGGAGCCTCATAATAACTGATCTGATCTGCACAATCCAATCAAATAAGCAGTGAAAAATTCACAACGCAATCTTCTACTCAGAATTGAATTCAGTAGGGCTTACTCCCAGGTAAAGGGGATTAGGATTGCAGCTTCAATTATGCACTGCCTTTTGTTCTTCCCAAATGTTCTGCCATTGTTCTGTGGTCAAAAAAACTGCATGGAAATTCATATTTTGAGAGGAAAAGTTTTCAAAAAATATTTGCATTTTCATATTAATAATATTTTCTTTTTTAAAATTTCTGGTTAATGGAATTTATGGGAAACAAGTACAAACAGAAATATCAAGACTAGACTGATTGGCCCATCCCTTATAGCAGCCTCTGACAACCTGGTGCCCTCCAGTTGTTTTGGACTACAAATCCCATCAGCACCATCAGCAGAACAACATCTGGCAGGGGCAGCAGGCACACTGCTTTATAGTGACCCCTACAATGGCCCAACATTGCAGGTAGCAGCGTTGGCTGTTAGAAAGCACCCAAATGTAAACGATATGGTTAAACCCATTTTTCAGTCGAACTCAAAACGTTGCAAAATAGCAGGCATCCTTTTTTGACGTTGCAGTCGTTCCTAAGAAATGCATTTGCACATAACAAAATATGTATTTTATCAAAGTAATTGTTGAACTGAAATACAATTAAGAAGAAGTATATTAATAGTGAGGGATGCGGGTGGCGCTGTGGGTTACACCACAGAGCCTAGGACTTGCCGATCAGAAGGTCGGCGGTTTGAATCCCCGCGACGGGGTGAGCTCCTGTTTCTAGGTCCCTGCTCCTGCCAACCTAGCAATTCGAAAGCATGTCAAAGTGCAAGTAGGTACTACTCCGGCGGGAAGGTAAATGGCGTTTCCGTGCGCTGCTCTGGTTCTCCAGAAGTGGTTTAGTCATGCTGGCTACATGACCCAGAAGCTGTACACCGGCTCCCTCGGCCAGTAAAGCGAGATGAGCGCCGCAACCCCAGAGTCGGCCACAACTGGACCTAATGGTCAGGGGTCCTTTACTTTTATATTAATAGTGAGATTTTGGAGGGGCCCTCAAGAGAGTTGGGCCCTAAGCTATAGCTTGTTTAGCTTATACAGTGGTACCTCGAGTTACAGATGCTTCAGGTTACAGACTCTTCAGGTTACAGACTCCGCTAATTCAGAAATAGTACCTCGGGTTAAGAACTTTGCTTCAGGATGAGAATAGAAATTGTGTGGTGGCAGCAGGAGGCCCCATTAGCTAAAGTTATGCTTCAGGTTAAGAACAGTTTCAGGTTAAGAACAGACCTCCGGAACAAATTAAGTTCTTAACCCAAGGTACCACTGTATGTAAATCCAACACTGGGACCACTCATCCAGCAGAGATTTGCAGGCACTTTCCATTTTTCAGACATCTCTGGCAGATCCTTTGAATGCAGATAGGCCTTTGCAGCTGCTTTTTTCAATTAGTGATTTAATTATAACCTTACAATTATAATTATATACTGATTAATGGTGTTTTCTGTTTTATTGTACATATTGTCTTCTTCTTTGGCAATCACTTGCAGCCGAGCAAGATTGTCTTCCATGAAACACGGTGAATACGTACAATAAAATATCGTTGCACACTGCCATATTATGCTGTATGGATTGGTGGTATGTAAATCCTTCTATAAATAAACAAGTGTCTGCAAATCACAAAAATGAGAGTGGGCCCCAAAGGCTCTCCATTTGCAGAACTGTCCTCCCCCTGCATATCAGCCCCCACAGGGTGATATTCAACTAAACTCTGCTCAGAGTAAGACCACTGAAATTAATGAACAAGTTAAAAAAAAAAGGTAAAGGGGACCCCTGACCATTAGGTCCAGTTGTGGCCGACTCTGGGGTTGCGGCGCTCATCTCGCTTTATTGGCCGAGGGAGCCGGCGTACAGCTTCCGGGTCATGTGGCCAGCATGACTAAGCCGCTTCTGGCGAACCAGAGCAGCACTACTTGCACTTTTGTTGTGCTTTTGAACTGTTAGGTTGGCAGGAGCAGGGACCGAGCAACGGGAGCTCACCCCGGTGCGGGGATTTGAACCGCTGACCTTCTGATCAGCAAGTCCTAGGCTCTGTGGTTTAACCCACAGGTCCATTTATTTCAGGAGGTCTACACAGAACAAACTTCTTCAAATACCAGCCTTAGATTTCAAGCACCCTTCCGCATCAAAATGCACAAGCTTCTAAAAGCACCAGTGTCTGCATGTCACAAAAATAAAGGGGATGGTTAGCGGGTCAAGCCAGGACTAGGGAGACCCGGGTTCAAATCCCAATTCAAGCCACAAAGCTCCCTGGTGACTTTGGGACATTCTCTTTCTCTTTTTCCTTAGGATGTGTTTATATTCCCATCTACCAAGCACGCCTTGCCTTTCCAGTGCGGGGAACAATCCATGTTCACATGCCGTTATCCAAAATGCAGGCGTATCCTGTACTTTGCTATAAAATACTACTATTTGATGTGTTGCTTCTCAAACCAGCTTCGCACTAACTGGGATCCTTAAGCCCTTCCTAATTCACGTCTAGCCAAGGAGTGAGCAACTCTGCGTGGCGTAAAGACATCCATGCCGCTGTCAACACCCTCAAAAGCACTACAGTGGTACCTGGGGTTACAGACACTTCAGGTTACAGACACTTCAGGTTACAGACTCCGCTAACCCAGAAATAGTACCTCAGGTTAAGAACTTTGCTTCATGCTGAGAACAGAAATCGCGCGGTGGTAGCGGGAGGCCCCATTAGCTAGGCCCCTGAAGTGGTGCTTCAGGTTAAGAACAGTTTCAGGTTAATAACGGACCTCCATAACGAATTAAGTTCTTAACCCGAGGTACCACTGTATTAGCAAGGAAGAGCTGTCCGTTGGCAACCTCTGCATTTCACAACGGTGTGCTTTTGATTCCCACATTGCATGGGGTTGACTAGAAGACTCTAGGACCCTCGTACCTACGGGACCTCCCACAGAGGACCTTATGGTCTTCAAACAAAAGCACCTTGCAGGTCCCGGGCCATAGAGAGGTTAGGCTGGCCTCGATCAGAGCCAGGGCTTTTTCGGCTGTGGCTCCGATCTGGTGGAACGCTCTGTCACAAGAGACTAGGGCCCTGCGGGACTTGACATCCTTCAGCAGGGCCTGCAAGACTGTTCCACCAGGCCTTTGGCCAAGGCACAGTCTGACCCCCTCCTTTGGTGATTCTTCACAGAACTCTAGCCCAATGGTTGCCATTAATTTGATTTGAACTGCTTTCGTAATGAATTGATTTTATAATGCTGTGTTACTTTTATTGTTGTTAGCCGCTCTGAGCCCAGCTTTGGCTGGGGAGGGCGGGGTATACCGTAAATAAATTATTATTATTATTATTATTATTATTATTATTATTATTAGGGTCTTTTCCATCTCTATGGTTCTATGTCCGTCTCTTTTCTCCCTCCCTCTCCTCCCCCCACAACTCAAAAGGAACTGACAGAGCATAGCGTTGTTGTCGGGGAAGGATAAATCTGGGAGCACCCAATTAACTTTCCCAAGCCTGTCTCTTTCTCATTCTTTCTTTATGCGTCTTTCTCTCTCCTCCTGATCCCTCTCCCCATCTCCTGCTACAACTTCCAGGGCATCTGAAAGTCATCCGGCTTGAGGAGAGACCAGTGCGTGGCGTCCACGTTCCTCATGTGCTTCTTGGCCAGGAACAGGGCCATCAGCTGCTTCCCTCGGCGGGCGAGGTGCTTCCCCACCCTGCAAGGGAAAGAGGGGCTCCCGTCCTCAAGGCTGTCTTTGTACTTCTGCAGCTCCTTGACACACCACTCGTCATTTATCCTGTACCGCTTGTAAACAGACTCCTCCTGTTTGGGGTTGGCAGCCCTGAGCCAGACCTGGACAGCCTCCAACCCGTCCTGGGACATGATTTCAGGGTAGCGATGCTCCAGGAGCTGCACTAGCAGCTCGTTGGCTCGGTTGCACCTGAGGTTGGTGATCTGGTCCTCCAGGCCAAACGGGCAGGTGGTGATGACCTCGTCTTTGGTCCTGCGGATCAGCAAGACGGGTCCCTGGTACCGGCACAGCTGCTCACCCACGTTGAGGTTGAAGTGCTCCTTCACCGTCCGAACCACCAGCTTCTTCCAGCTCTTGGGCATGATGTTGAGGGCCAAGGGGAGCAGGTCGTCGAAAGTGGCGTCCAGCACCAGGGCTCCCAGAGACGGGTACGTCATGGCAGCCCACGTGGCAGAGTAGCCCCCTAAGGACCACCCGTACACAACAATGTCTTCTATGTTGAAGCCCAGGCGGCAGGTGGCATACCGGATCACGACGTCCACCGCGTTGGCGTCGTTCTCCGGGTAAGGCTGGCCGGTGCTCCCAGCGAAACCGGGGTGGTTCCACCCCAGCACGGAGTACCCGGTCCTCAAGGGGGTGAAGAGGCAGCCCCACTGGTAGAAGCTGACGTTCCCCTCGCAGCAAACCACCAGCCGGTTCCCTCGCTGCTCCCCTTGTCCTTTCAGCTTGTCCCTCCGGTCCACAAACATGGTGTCAATCTTGTTCCCGTCGCGAGCCACCAGCTTGGCCCGCTTCCCATTGTAATCCTTCAAGAGGCGAGCTTGGCCCTTGGCCAGGACGGGCAACAGAGCTTGGTTCAGGAGGAAGACGGAGCCAGGGTAGATCAGCCAGCGGCCCAAAGAGTGCGCCATGATATAGCTGGCCCACTGGCCGGGCATTTGCTTGAAGTGGCGGAGGAGGTTCCAGCGTGAGACCCGGTGTCTGCTAGGGCCTCTTATCAAGGCCGAAGCCAGCGGACACGCTCTCGTCGCCGCTTTGACCAGGATCGGGCAGCCACCGTGGCCTCTGTTGCTGCCACCATGGCTGGGCGGGCTGCCGTTGACGCCGGCCTCGTCCCACCGGAAGTCAACAGGCCAGTTGCTGAACTCAAAGTCGTAGCTGGCCATAAAATAGGTTTTGAATATGTGGGCCAGAGCCTTTGGAAAACAGAAGACGCACATGGAGAGAGATAATGGTTATCTTCTAGGAGAGGCATAAATTACATAAAAAGAGGTGTGGGCAAGGAAGGTTGCCCCACGGCAGATATTTCTGACGTCTCCAGAGCTTTCCCGTTGACGGATAGATTACTTCATAGGTACATGATGCGGGCTTTGGAACTGGTTGGAGCTCACCCCTTTGGCCATGGTGAAGTGGTCATTGGCGCCTGCCCATCAGGGCCCTCAGCACCCCTAGTCCACAGGGAAGTGTCACAATCAGTGAGGTCGTGCCTCCTTTGTGAACATCTCAGCAGAGGCCAGCACTCAGAAGTAGCCAAACCAACCAGTCCTGGTGGCCCCAGATGAACGTTGAAAAGAGGACGGGCTGTGGTCCTTCCACACTGTTATTGCCCACACCTCCCTCGCTTTTAGCAGATGGCTTGGTCAGTGAATCACATCAACTCATTTGCCACGTTCTCCCCCAATCTTCAGGTAGTCAGTCCACCCTCCCCAAACCCTCCTTGGATATTCCGGCAACCGGAAGTTCATTCCCGCCTTCTTTCGGAGCAAGGAGGGGGAATCAGGCTGTACGGGTGTGGATGTGCTTTATTTTAATTCCCCCCCCCAATACGCCATCAAGCTTTAAAACACTGCAGAGATGCTCTGCAGGGGAGATGGGGGGTGGGGTTTGTGACATAATAAAACAGCGGCCAATCAGGGCTGTGAACAGCCAGGGTTCTGGTGGAAATTATAAGAACTTGGCTATTGTTGCCTTGGGCTGGAGAAGCCAAGGAAGAAACATAGTGGGTTTACATCCAGACGACAGCAATTACCGTATTTTTCGCCCTATAGGACGCACCTAGTTTTTTGGGGGGAAATAAAGAAAAAAAAATATTCCCTCCCCCAGCTATCCGCAGCCTAGGGAGCCCTGCGGGAACTGATAGCTTCCTGAAGCCTGGAGAGCGAGAGGGTTCGGTGCGCACTGACCCCTCTCGCTCTCCAAGCTTCAGCGAAAGCCCGCATTCACCCCATAGGATGCACACAGATTTCCCCTTCATTTTTGGAGGGGAAAAAGTGCGTCCTATAGGGCGAAAAATACGGTAGGTAATTTGCTTGTTTAATGCACATTCTTACGCACTCTCATTCGCTTCTGTAAGGTTACTGTATGCCCACAGTGAAACACAATCCCAGCCCCTCATGCCAAAATATCACATATTTATTTACTTATTTATTTTATAATAAAATATACACCATTTGATTGTAAAGCCTCAAAAGTGATTTACAGTGGTACCTCTGGTTACAAACTTAATTTGTTCTGGAGGTTTGTTCTTAACCTGAAACCGTTCTTAACCTGAGGTACCACTTTAGCTAATGGGGCCTCCCGCTGCCGCCGTGCCGCCACCGCATGATTTCTGTTCTCATCCTGGGGCAAAGTTCTTAACCCAAGGTACTACTTCCAGGTTAGTGGAGTCTGGTAATCCAAAGTGTTTGTAACCCAAGGTGTTTGTAACCCGAGGTACCACAGTACAAACAAGACAAAACAATAAAACATCAATAAGAAAAGTTAGCCACTGTGATTTTAAATGTTCAAAGAGTTAAAATAACAATAGACTAAAAACAGATGAATATTCGCATCAACTAAGGTTTTGTCGAAATAAGACTGTTTTAAAGATGCTTTGGGATTTAATGATGGTTGTAGAGCATGAGACTCTTAATCTCAGCTTCGAGGGTTCGAGCCCCATGTTCGGCAAAATATTCCTGCACTACAGGGGGGTTGGGCTAGATCATAGCTGTCAACGTTTCCCTTTTTTAAAGGGAAATTCCCTTATTCCGAGCAGGATTCCTTGCAAGAAAAGGGGAAAGCTGAGAGCTATGGGCTAGATGATCCTTGTGTCCCCTTACAGTTCTATGAATCAAGTCTGGCAAAAACACCTGAGGTTATTGATGTCTGAGGCATGACCCGGGGAGATTTCCAGACACACAGAGAGACCTGGAGGGGCTGGATTTGGCCCCTTTACCTGAGGTTCCCCACTGTAGTTTTCATTGAAGAGAGAGAGAGAGCGACTGAATGACCAACCTTGCTTTCTGAAAACCTGCATGTTCATATTCATCAGGTGGGCGTCAGGTGAAATCGCAGTTGTCTGCCTTGAGTCCATGAGACAGGGTGAGCTATGAATAATAATAATAATAATAATAATAATAATAATAATAATAATAATAATAATATTTTAATTATACCCTGCCCTTCCTGGGCTCAGGGCAGCTAACAACAAATTTAAAACACTTAATTGATGGAACAAAAACCAGAATAAAATAGAGTATAAAACGTGGATAACAATAAATTCAATAATTCAAAAATCAGTTTAGGGGGGAAATCCATCCAATAAACATTAGGTGATCACCAGGGCTAGCTGGCTAAGTTAGTCCTATTTGGGCCAGCGAGGAGACCAGAGGAGAATTAGCTATGGGATCCCAGAGCGGGGTATCTTCATAAAAAGGGGAGAGGGAGGGAAGGAAGGGGAATAAAAGATCAGGCTAAGTTCAAATTGAAAGCCAGGCGGAATAGCTCTGTCTTACAGGCCCGGCGGAAGGAAGTTAAATCCTGCAGGGCCCTGTATGCAATTATAATGATATTAATACATACTGGCAGTTTTATAAGGGATGACTCTATGTGAACTTGGGGCCGTAGCCAACTAAATTCTACTCAGAGTAGACCCATTGCAACTGCTTGTCCGGGTGGAGGAAAGAAATACCGTATTTTTTGCTCTATAAGACTCTATAATGTGTGTGCGTCTTATGGAGCGAATGCAGGCTGCGCAGCCATCCCAGAAGCCAGAACAGCAAGAGGGATCGCTGCTTTCACTGCGCAGCGATCCCTCTTGCTGTTCTGGCTTCTGAGATTCAGAATTTTTCCCCCCTTGTTTTCCTTCTCCAAAACCTAGGTGCGTCTTGTGGTTTGGTGCGTCTTATAGAGCAAAAAATACGGTACATATGTGTGGAAGCAAGGCTATTTCAGGAAGGCAAATTTTACATTTGTTGCCCTGCCTACCACTTGGGAGTAGCCCTCAGGAAGCTGTTCATAAGTGGCCCTCAGGCTGAGTGTGGCCCTCAGGTGCAAATCTTCACCTCTCCCTCCTAACCAGACTAAAGCTGGTCACACATTTGTATCTTGTTTCTCTTCAACACCCTTCTTCTTCCTTCTCCTACCTCCCCTTTGCCAAATGTTAGACTGCAAGCTCCTTGGGGCAGAAACTTCTCTCTCCTTGCCTGTAGCTCTATAAATTGCCATAAACATCACTTATATAAAAAGGTAACAAAGCCTGAACTCTATTTTTTTCCCCTGTCTCAAGAAACTCTTAGCAAAATAGACATATGTGCCTAGCTCAATTATCTTTCCCCCTATTATTTTTGACAGAGACATGTCTGATGTTTCAAGGCCAAAATCTTTTTCTTCTGCTGGCCTTGGATTCTGCTGCCAGCCGCCACCCAGTTGCCCCCGAACACCTGTCCCAGCACTCAATAAGCCCTAAAGAGGGAGGGAAAGTTGTATCAAATAAAACGTTTTTGAAAACGTGTCATTAAATGAATGACACTGTTAGGAAAGGATTGTGTTAAGTGACCCTCATGAAGCAAACACCTAGCAGCCAGCTTCAAGCACAAACTTTCTCTGTGGAACCCACTACTAGTAACAGTTTAAGGAAAAAATAGAGGATTTCCCACAGACTTCTGGCTGGCCTCTGTGAGAACAGGGTGTCAGACTAGATGGCCTATTTGCTCTGATCCAGCAAGGCTCATCGTAATGTTGTTAGAAGGATAAGATACCTTATGTGTATCCCAAAGGTAGATATGCAGAGGAAGGAGGGAGGGAGAAGATTAGATTTCCCATTATCAGCCTGACCCTCGTGACATCACAGTTCAGTCCCAGTGATGTCATTGCCGTGGAACACTTAAGTGTGATGACATTGTGCATTGCCTTTCTGCGGGTCCTGTAAGCAAAGAAGCACACGAGGAGCTGCAACCCTCAGGCATTTTAATGGTCCATCAAGGTTAGGGATGGGGAGTCTGTGGCCTTCCAGATATTGCTGGACTACAACTCCCATCATCTCTACTTGCCGCACTGGCTGGAGCTGATGGATATGGGAGTCCAGCGATATCTGGAGGGCCACAGGATATCTGGAGGGCTCGATTGAGGTTCACATTGTTGGCATTTCCTCAGAGTTCTTGCAGAGGTCTTTTCCAGCTCTGCTACCTGAGCTGATCATCCTGCAAGACTCTGGGATCGGTTCTGGGCCATTCTGTAAACAATGTGCATGTCATCCCATTGGGTTAAGTCTCCTGCCCTAGGGGTGCATGAGGAAGTCGATTTTGGTGGGTTTCAGTGTGAACTGGCCTCATCTGCACCTCCTGGACTAATGCATGGATCAAGACATATTATCCAGCTATTTGGGAGCCTGTCCCTGTTAAGTATAATAGTTTAATAGACAATGAAATGAGAATATCTAAATGTGTATTGATGAAAAGGTTTAACGTGGGGGCTATATTAAAGCCAAGGAGAGCACTCTGAGCTCTCCCTGAGTTGATAATTATCTAACTGTTTGCTGTTCTCTGGTAGCGAACATGTGAGTGTTGTAACCTTAGATCATGCGATGATGGTATTGAGTTGCAAATCTTTTGTCTCAAGGCTCTGGGAAGTAAGGACATGTAAAAGACCCTCTCTGACTGAGAGAGAGAAAACAACTCCAAGCTAAAAATGGAATCATGCCATATTTTGTAAGTTGCTGAGCCTGTGCTGGACAGCACAAGACATTGCATGGACATTTTGGATGTATCATTTGATGTTTCTGTTTTATGCTGAAGAGTTCTGCTAGTAAAAATTTGAATATTTATGGGTCTGGACAATGATTTCTTCCAAAAGGAGTTCTTATCCATCCGGTCACTTCAAACTGCATAAGACTAATATCTGCAACAGTCACATCAAAAACCCCTCACCTAAAGCCAGGTGTGATCCTCCCTGGGTCTGGGTCTGCTCCTGACTCTTGATGCATCTCTGTGGACTTGGAGACAAAGCCCAGCTTTCCTGCTCCCCTGACGGCTCACTCTGTGCGATAGAGCTTCTCCACCACATCATCTGACAGAGAAATGGCCTTTCTGGCCTTTGAAGACCCAGACTCCTCACTCTGAACCAAGCCAGAGGAGAACCGGACCGTGAATCTTCCAGAGGGAGAATCTCAGTGGAGGGTCCAGCTTGAGTGACCCAGGTTCTCTTCCTTCCCCTTGTTGTCTTCATGGAGACCTTGGGCAGAGCCATGGCATGGCCTCCTTGGAAATCCTACTTCAGGCCAATTTTGCTTTCCAAAATCCAGTGGATGGGAAACCCTCAGAGATGGCAGGGAGAATATCCTGGCTCTGGAAATCTCTCCACAGAAAGGCTCATCTGGTGCCGAGCCATATGTCTTTTTAGGACCAGGTGAAATTCTCTTTATTTGCCTGGGGACTTTTATGTTGGTCAGTAATCCTGTTGTGTCTTTCCTGTGGTGACTCCCCAATTGTGGATGCTTTCTCCAGAGAGGCTGGCTTGGCGCCAACATTGCATGTTTTTAGACACCAGGAAAAAACATTCCTCTTTAACCAGGCCTGCGGCTATTAAATAATCTCTCCCCCCCCCAATGATTTTTATTAGATCTTCCAAATTATTACATAACTCTGTCTTTTTTACACGTTCTCTTCTTGACTTCCTCCTTCCCTGATTGTTATGCCCCCTTAATAGCTGCATTAAAACACATCTACATTTATTTTCTAAACCCCCAAAATCCATTTTCTACATTCTTCCATTGTTCATATCTGCTATTAAATATGGCCTGTGATCATGTGGGAGGACGGACTGTTATTATGATGATGATTTTACTATTAGGCTGTCTGTCAGAATGCTTCTTACTACTTTTTATTGTGTTTTTGTCGTTGATGTTTTGCAATGTGTTTCTAGTGTTGTACACCACCCTGAAATCTTTTGATAAAAGGTGGTATATAAATTGAATTAATTAATTAATAAGTTAATTATTAATAATACGTATTTGTAAAACATACTTTGCTGTTTTAAGTCATGCTGTTTGCCACATTGAGAAGCTTGGTCAATTAGAAGCAGGCTAATTCTAAAAGTGAATAATAAATACATCTCCATGGTGGGTGTGGGAGCAAATGTTACAGTCATACCTCAAGTTGCAAACGCTGCGGGTTGCGCATTTTTGGGTTACGGACTGCGCCGAACCCGGAAGTACCGGAACGGGTTACTTCCGGGTTTTGGTGCTCGCGCATGCGCAGAAGCGCTTAATCACACTTTGTGCATGCACAGAAGTGCCAAATTCCACTTTGCGCATGCGCAGAAGCTCCGCATTGCATCACACGCGTGCACAGACGCGGAGCTGTGGGTTGCGAACGTGCCTCCCGCATGGATCACGTTCACAACCCGAGGTATGACTGTATTTTTATTCATCTATTTTTACATTTATACCACACCTTTCCTCCAAGAATCTCAAGCGAGCACACATAGTTCTCCTCCACCCCATTTTATCTTCACAGCAACCCTGTGAGGTAGTCTAAGCTGAGAGTGCGCAGCTGGCCCAAGGTCAGCAAGTGAGTTTCATCACTGAGTGGGGATTTGGAGCCAGGTCTCAGTCCAACACTCTAACCACTATGCCACACTCCTCCTGGCACATACCCAGAGATATGCTCACGCTATGCTGGTGGAACAGCCAAGATACCCAGTGTCAAAGCAACAGACACGCCCACAGAGACCCTGGAAGCCAATGCCCACCAATCAGGGCGTGTGCTGCGAACCACGCCCGCACGGAGAATCAGCCAATGAACTGGTGACAACGAGGACACACCCCCCTCATTGCATCAGAAAACATGCAACATGTAGGAGGTCACCAGAGCATCAGCACCAGTGGTCCAGCTAGCAATTACCCTGCTACTGTCAGTCTTCGCTCTTCACCCCTAATAATAATAATAATAATAATAATAATAATAATTTATTTATATCCCGCCCTCCCCAGCTGAAGCTGGGCTCAGAGTGGCTAACAGTAAAAATAACACAGTTTACATAAAATCATAATCAATTAATTGGAATACATTCTAAAATGAATTCATTCTAAAATCAGTTCAGAGTCAATTAATGGCAACCATTGGGCTAGAGTTCTATGAGGATTACAGAAGGAGGGGGTCAGACTGTCCCTATAGGCTGGGAGTTCGAATTCCCCTGGAACAAGAGTTCAAGACCCTCCTGCAAGGGAAAGCCTTTTGCTGAGAAGCCAAGGGGTGGCACGAGAACACTCAACCAGGGCAACCCCAGGCATGCACAGAGAGCAGCTGCTTCCACTGGCACGATGCATAGGAAACAAGGCTGGGAGGCAGGAATTCAAGTCCTACCAGGGCGGATGGAGGGGAACATACCCCCAACTTACCTCTTGCGTGCGTATCCACAACCCATCATATCAGAGGGAGACAAAGGACTTGACCCTGCTCTGCAAGCTCCACAAAGCAGCTCCCTAGCCACTCAGCTACAGCAGTAGACTGGAACCAGCCATGCGGTAGGGACAATTGTCTCTCTCCCTGCTCCAGCCCCAGGCCAGTGGTGGCTGGTGGCCATTGGGATTGGTAAGGAGTAGGCTGGGAGGCTAACAGTAGGTGGCGCCAGAAAGGCCGAGCCAACTCATTCTATCTTTGTCCCCATCCATCTTCCTCCCACAACCTTGATGGCAGAAAGTGAGGAGGAAGTAAAGAACCTTTTAATGAGGGTGAAAGAGGAGAGCGCAACATCAAAAAAAACAAGATCATGGCCACTGGACCTATCACCTCCTGGCAAATAGAAGGGGAAGAAATGGAGGCAGTGGGAGATTTTACTTTCTTGGACTCCATGATCACTGCAGATGGTGACAGAAGTCACGAAATTAAAAGACGCCTGCTTCTTGGGAGAAAAGCAATGACAAACCTAGACAGCATCTTAAAAAGCAGAGATGTCACCTTGCCAACAAAGGTCCGTATAGTTATAGCTATGGTTTTCCCAGTAGTGATGTATGGAAGTGAGAGCTGGACCATAAAGAAGGCTGATCGCTGAAGAATTGATGCTTTTGAATTCTGGTGCTGGAGGAGACTCTTGAGTGTCCCATGGGCTGCAAGAAGATCAAACCTCTTCATTCTGAAGGAAATCAGCCCTGAGTGCTCACTGGAAGGACAGATCCTGAAGCTGAGGCTCCAATACTTTGGCCACCTCATGAGAAGAGAAGACTCCCTGGAAAAGACCCTGATGTTGGGAAAGATGGAGGGCACAAGGAGAAGGGGACAACAGAGGACGAGGTGGTTGGACAGTGTTCTCGAAGCTACCAGCATGAGTTTGACCAAACTGCAGGAGGCAGTGGAGGACAGGAGTGCCTGGTCTAGGGGGTCACAAAGAGTCGGACACGACTAAACGACTAAACAGCAGGCAGGGAGGCTAACAGTAGGTGGCACTCATTCTATCTTTCCCCCCATCCATCCTCCTTCCTGCAGCGTCTTGCAAAGGCAGCCCTGAGATTAAGGAGGAACAGGAACCTACTTGTTGTTGAAAGTAAGAAGGCAGGCTGAGTTCACCCCAATCGAGACATCTCCACTGGCCCAGCCCCCGATCATCGATCCCAGGAACGTGCAACTCATATTTTCCATGCCAGAAGGAGCACCTGGTTCAAATCCAGGCACAATGGGACACTGGGGGAAGGAGGAGGGGCTCCCACTCTCGGCCAATTAGGAGCAGCGCTGCATTGACCAATAGCCCATCCCCTCACCCAGGCAGCCCATGTAATCAATCCACCCTCTCTGTTTTTCCAGATAGGTTGGCTCTACTGGTAGCAGAGGCTCAGGCCATATGTCACACACTCTACTTACCCTTCCCTCTACTGCCTATGGAGCCACAGCTTAGGGTCAAAGCTCCTAAGTGATGCAGGAGGTCGCTTGTTGAACCTTCATCATCTCCAGGCAGAGCTAGGGGAAAGTCCGGTCTGAAATTCTGGAGAACCACTGCTGGTCTGTGTGGGCAAGGGGTTGAGGAAATCTGTGGGGGCCACCCCGATTTTGCCGGACTCCCATCATCTGTAGCCAGCATAGCCAATGGTCAGAAATGATGGGACGAGGTGCCCCACTACAGTGGTACCTCAGGTTACATACGCTTCAGTTTACAGATGCTTCAAGTTACAGACTCCGCTAACCCAGAAATAGTACCTCGGGTTAAGAACTTTGCTTCAGGATGAGAACAGAAATCGTGCAGCGGCAGCGTGGCGGCAGCGAGAGGCCCCATTAGCTAAAGTGGTGCTTCAGGTTAAGAACAGTTTCAGGTTGAGAACGGACCTCCAGAATGAATTAAGTTCTTAACCTGAGATACCACTGTATTAGTCTAAAGGTAAAGGTAAAGGATCCCTGACAATTAAGTCCAGTCGTGAACAACTCTGGGGTTGTGGCGCTCGTCTCGCTTTACTGGCCGAGGGAGTAGGCGTTTGTCCGCAGTTTTTCCAGGTCATGTGGCCAGCATGACTAAGCCAATTCTGGCGAAACCAGAGCAGCACATGGAAACGCCGTTTACCTTCCTGCCAGAGCAGTACCTATTTATCTATTTGCACTTTGACCTGCTTTCAAACTGCTAGGTTGGCAGGAGCAGGGACCGAACAATGGGAGCTCACCCCATCGTGGGGATTAGAACTGCCAACCTTCCGACTGGCAAGCCCTAGGCTCTGTGGTTTAGACCATAGCGCCACCCACGGCCAGTACCAATATAGGGTTGACCAACAGCCTGATTTGCTACAATGTACTCTCCCATTTTATTTTATTTATCGCATTTACAACCCACCTTTTCCTTCAAGGGGGTCAAGGAGCGCATGGTTCTCCCCCCCCCCCCACAACAACTGTGTGAGTTAGGTTAGGCTGAGAGGCAGTGATTGGCCCATGGTCCCCCAGTGAGCTTCATAGCTGAGTGGGGATTTGAACCCAGGTCTCCAAGGACTTAGTCCAACACTCTAACCACTATGCCACATTGATTCTCCAAACGTATTCCTAAAGGTAAAGGTAAAGGGACCCCTGACCATTAGGTCCAGTCGTGGCCGACTCTGGGGTTGCAGCGCTCATCTCGCTTTATTGGCCAAGGGAGCCGGCATACAGCTTCCGGGTCATGTGGCCAGCATGACTAAGCCGCTTCTGGTGAACCAGAACAGTGCACGGAAACGCCGTTTACCTTCCCGCTGGAGCGGTACCTATTTATCTACTTGCACTTCATGCTTTCGAACTGCTAGGTTGGCAGGAGCAGGGACCGAGCAACGGGAGCTCACCCCATTGCGGGGATTTGAACCACCGACCTTCTGATCGGCAAGTCCTAGGCTCTGTGTTTTAACCCACAGCGCCACCCGCATCCCTTATACTTATTCCTACATACTCCCAAATATTATATCTAGAGTAGGAATTATTTGCCCTGGACACTCTGGGACCATAATGCATAATGGGTCCCAGATCTTCAGAATCAAAGAAATAATCAGCAGCAATAGCTGTGCTTCCAGGGCATCTCTGCCCAGCAGGGAGTCACAAGAACCAACTTCAAAAGCTATAGAATCTTAGATTACTTAGATTCCTGCAGTACAGGAATCACAGCTAAGAAATCCTTGATAGATGGCCATAAAAGGTAAAGGTAAAGAGCCCCCTGACCGTTAGGTCCAGTCGCGGACAACTCTGGGGTTGTGGCACTCATCTCGCTGTATTGGCCGAGGGAGCCGGCGTACAGCTTCTGGGTCATGTGGCCAGCATGACGAAGCCGCTTCTGGCGAAACCAGAGCAGAGCACGGAAACGTCGTTTACCTTCCTGCCGGAGTGCTGCCCATTTATCTACTTGCACTTTGACGTGCTTTAGAACTGCTAGGTTGGCAGGAGCTGGGACCAAACAACAGGAGCTCACCCCGTCGTGGGTATTCAAACCGCTGACCTTCTGATCGGCAAGCCCTAGGCTCTGTGGTTTAGCCCACAGCGCCACCCGTGTCCCTAGATGGCCATACAACCCCTGTTTAAAAACCTCAGGTGAAGGAGAGTTGACCACCTTCCGAGGCAGTCCGTTCAACAAGCAGCTCTTACTGTCAGAATGCTCTTCCTAATGTTTAGCTGGAATCTCTTCTATTGTCATTTGAATCCAGTGGTTTGGGTCCTGCCCTCCGGAACAGCAGAAGGTAGAATCTGAACCAAAAGACCTCACCACTGCCTGCACAAACCGCAATGATGAATGCTAGTTTTTATTTCTCTCTCTTTCTCTACAGTCAAGCCGCCACCTCCCCAGCCGAGCTAGAGCTTCCAGGGCATCTGAAATTCATTTGGTGGCAAAGTTCTTCCATGGGTGGTCTCCACGTTCTTCAGGTGCTTCTTGGCCAAAAACAAGGCCATCTGCTTCTTCTTCGCGGGGGGAAGGTTCTTCCCGACGTTCCACGGGAAGCTGCAGTTTGAGCCAAGGCTGGCTTTGTAGCCGCGGAGCGTTTGAAGGCACCAGTCCTCATCCACTTTGTAGAAGAAGCTGTAGATGAGGTCGTCCATCTGAGGGCAGTCGGCAGCCAGCCAGCTGCGCACCACTTCCTCCTCCTCGGATATAAGGTCAGGGTAACGGCACCTCAAGAGCTGCAGGAGCAGCTCGTTGGCTCTGTTGGTCTTGATGACAGGCAGCTTGCTCTCCGAGTGGAAGTGGGTGCTGGTGATTTCATCCAACGTCCTCCTGACGAGCAGCACTGGGCCAGGGTATTGGCACAGCATCTCCGCCACGTTGAGGTTGAAGTGCTCCGTCACGGTCTTGACCACCAGCTTCTTCCAGCTCTTTGCCATCACCTTCATGGCCAAAGGGAGCAAGCTGTCAAAGGAGGCGTCCAGTACCAACCCGCCTAGCTCCGGATAAGTCTTCGCAGCCCAAGTGGCTGTGTAGCTCCCTAAGGAGTAGCCGTAGATGGCAATGTCCGGCAGGGCAAAACCCAGCCGGCGTATGGCATATTGGATGACCACATCCATAGCGTTGACGTCATTTGCCGGATAGGGTTTGCCCGTGCTCCTGCCGAAACCAGGGTGGTTCCACCCCAGGACAGAGTACCCGGCCTTCAGTGGGGTGAAAAAGCATCCGACCTCATAGAAACTGCCATTCCCCTCGCAGCAGATCACCAGCTGCATCCCTCGTTTCTCCGGACTTTTCCTCTTCCTCCTGTCCACAAACATAGTGTCAATTTCGTTCCCATCGCGGGCTATCAGTTTGGCCCGTTTCCCGTGGAAATCCTCAATGAGGCAAGTTCGGGCGTTCACCAGTATATTGGGCGGGACTTTGTTCAAGAGGCAAACGGAACCCGGGTAGAGCAGCCAGCGGCCGATGGAGTGAGCAATGGCATACCTGGCGAACTTGCTGGAGCAATGCTTGAAGGAGTGGAAGACGCTGGATCTGGAGCTCTCCGCCACGGCGCCCTCCTGGGGGACTGTAAGCATCCCTTGGGGGTTCTGGTTGTTGATGGTGATGCTGCTGCTGCTGTGTCCATTGGCGACGGTGCTGGTCCCGGCCTCATCCCAGCGATATTCCACTGGGCACTTCTTGAAGACACAGCTGTCTTTGATCATCAAGTAGGTTTTCATTTTGTAACACATGTTGGAGCTCTTTAGGGGGGGAGCGTTCACGGGATCAAACGACGGTGCCTTTTAGGAAGTTGGGTCAAGTTAAAGGAAGGGGAACACGAAGAAGAGAAGGACAAAGAGATATTTCTAGAGGCAGGCTGGAAGTTAGCAACTTTTGATTCGGGTCCAACCCAGAAGTGGATGTGGAGCAGCACTAGAATGTCTTGAGATGGCTGCTGCCCACCTGCCCTTGGCTGATGTTGGGAGGGTCATATCCTGCAAAAGGGCAACCGGGCACTTCCTCCAAGAGCCCCTACAGGCCAGTCACTCAAAGCAAAGGTAATAATAAGCCATGTCAGTCCCCTTTGTGAGCAACTACTCCTCTGAGGACTTGGCTGGGAGGCCCATCAGCTGCCAGGGGGGTCTGGAGGTGGACATTGCAAATTATTCTCTGGGGCGGTGGAGCAAGAGCACAGTGTCTGTCCACTTAGTCTGTCCACAAGGTCTGTCCCATCAATCCCAGCCTCATCTGTCAGTCCCATGGAACAAAAGGCTTTCTTGCGGGCCAGAATGCCCCTATATCTCAGGGACCGGGAAGTGGGCCTCATCGAAGGTTAGATACCTTCTTCCATCAGTAACATTATTAACGCTTGTTTAATTCGTTACCCATCCTCCACTCTAAGGTACCAGGTCAGGTAAGAAGGTAAGAAGAGCCTGCTGGATCAGGCCAATGGCCCACCTGTTCTCACAGTGGCCAGACAGATGCCTGTGTGAAAGCAGCAAGCAGGATTCGAACACAGGAGCCTGTGGTTTCCAGCAACCGGTACTCAGTTTGCATTGGGGGGGAAAGTTCCCGGTGGAAATTCCCGCTTGAGAGGAACCATTGTCATCTAGGCATCTGCGGGGGAGAAAAGGTTTTAATTCCTCCTAAAGGTTTAAATTCCCCCTCCATGCTTGCTGTGAACTACCAGCCCAAGTGATGCAAAAAGCATTTTTTAAAAGCTGCGCATTAGATGTGTTTCATGCCGCGTGCAGTTTGGTGCTCAAGTTGAAAGGGAAGTGTGACCAGCCAGTGGGAGAAGCCGTCTCTCTTTTTGCTCTTCAAACTCCCCACCCCCCACCCACAGCACTGACCACAGAGACATCACTTTCCTCTTCATCACAAACGCAGCTCTCAGAATGATGTGTAATCTCAACCCACAGTCTTGAAAAACCCTACAGTATCCCCCATGCAACAGGAGGCAGACGGCGTTGCGGGGACCAGAAGGCATTTCCTCGATTCCTCTTTCCTAGGAAGAGGGAAGAGGGGGCAGGACGGTTGCAAAAGCCCCCGCTGGAGACAGATGACTGTTGGAGAACTGGAGGCGGTAACGGTGGAGGGGGTCCTGCCTGTGGCACTCTTTGAGGAAGGAGGAAAGAGCAGCGATGATGCTCTTTTCAGTCCCCAGAGAGCTAGCGGGGGCGAGGGGCTGAAAGAGAGGAGAAGCCTGGTTTTGGTACAAATCCGTCATCCCGTTTTCATCACGGGGAGAACAAGTC